TAACTAGTTATATATATTTTTCCAACTTTAAAGCAATTTTTTTTTATTTTACAAATGTTTTTTACAAAATTATCTTAAAATAGACAGAGTTGCATATGGTGCAAACTTTAACGAGGGTATTGTATTATATAGGGTGTCCCAATTGCCATACCATGGGTCACTATTGCTATCTCGGTAATTATAAGAACTACAAGCTGGTCAAATGAGATAAAATGTACAGTTTTTGGGGTATATTAAAAATCTGGTTTCACATTAAGAAAAAAATAATTAGTACTGAGCTACGGGGATTTTTCGAAATCTCAAAACAATTTTTTTGTTTTTGTGACGTTCCTCAATTTGGTATTTTTAACGTTTTAATTTAATATACTTTGTAATTCTTATAGTTACCAAGATAGCCCTAGTGGCCCATGACAATTGGGATACCCTGAATAATTAGGCTCAACTTTGGTTTAGCTGAGATCAGTTATGGAATAAATATTTATATATTTAGTACTATTCTTTTATAGTAGTACACATTTACGATTTATTCCGTTATAGCAGTATTTTGAAGCCTTGATTAACAGAAAATAATGAAGTTTTTCTGGGGAAATATAATAATTTGCATTAGTTGGCTTAGGTTTCATTGGGCTAGATCTCTTTTCGCAATTTTATTTTTTATACGGATATTTTGAATGTAAAATTAGTTAAACTTTCCGTGCAACTAATATGATTTTGAATTAAAAGTGTACTGCATTTCCACAAAAAAAATCGTTTTTATGTTCGGGAAGGTAATTGGTTTCAGCTAAACAAAAAATTCCCTACAATTCTAAATAAAAGATATATTATTAGGTGATGGTTCCCTTACTCCAGGAAAAAAAATTCTCTAGGTGAGCGCCAAAAATGGAGAGTCTTCCGTAGACTTTTTTTAGGAAAACATCCAGAACATGCTAAAAATATATAAGGATTTTGTGAAAGCTTAAAGAAGCCCAAACTACAGTGTATTAGAAAGGAAGAACCATTAGGTACTCTAGTCACTGCAAAATTAACAAAATATCTATATAATTTTATTCGAGATGTAACTGCAGAAATTAGCTTTAGCTTAGAGAATGCTTTCCAAGTTATGATCAGGTTAAAAAAAATAAATGATATATGATAAATAAATAAAAAATTATATAACAGCTAAATTTGTCAGCCATCTTAATTGTATATGAAATGTCGGAGGTGGCAATTTTTAATGTTGAAATACTTATTGGCTTTTTCAAAAATGACTAAAATTATGAAAATTCTACAAAAACATATGAGCAAAGAGCAATTGTGAAAGACTCATTTTTGTTGAACACCCTGTCCAGTTTTTTTACTGTTTTATAACAAAATATGTTTTTATAATAAAATTGAAAGATCATTCTTTCAAAAAAAATTCAAGACGAAAAATTTAGATGTTATTTAAGCAAAGTTATATGCATATAAAAAATAGGTTTTTGTAAAACGCACTATATTTTTGTACTGCCCGGTATATAGTTCAAATCATGTAAAGTAACTATTTTTTTTAATTTAAAACTTTGCTGTTTGTACAATATAACTGTGTATTTCTAGCTTTTCCAGATTAAAAGTTTCAAGTAAAAAACTGTGCCGCAACCCCGATTGATATCCTAGTAAAAGCCATCTGCACCTGTGTTCTCATTATCCTTATTGGGACACCTAGTACAGTGACGTTAAATCAATTCGTTGTTGTTTTTTCAGTTACAATATCAGATATTTTAATTTCCAGAAACCTCAGAAAAAAAAATCAGTATCTCGCATCGCCTCGTATTCTACCCATGTAGCTACGCAAACACAACGCAAATTTTATTTCCGCAATACGCGAGATAATTGCATATCAAATACATCACGTACCGTAACGTAGTCTAAACAACCGAAATAAATAAATGATTAAATTTTGCCGGTATTGAATTCCATCGTGCGACGCAATTCGACCATATTTTCCACTCCGTCCGATTTTTAATGCAATATTAAATTTTTCAAACCAGCGTCGGGACGGCACGTTACACAGTTGCGGACACGTACACTGTTCCAACATAACTTTCCTTTAAAAAGACTGTGCAAGCAGCAATTTTCCCAAAATGAAAAACCAACCGGGCATACGAAAGCGGCCCATTCAGGTGAGCTTAATGAAAAAACGATGATCAAGCTGGTTGGCCCCTCTACTTTGGTTTTTTTAAGTCATTTTTTGCAGTAGGTAATAAATTTCAAAATATTTCCACATTAAAGCGGTTTGTTTCGCGTTCAGATGTTTTAAGATTTTAAAAGCCGCCGGACTTTTCCCTTGGGATCAAATAAATCATGTTGCCTTAATTAATATCAACATGGATTACGACAAAGTGTTTTTTTCTGCTCTCTGCTTTAAAATATCCAATTATGAACCGATGAAAGTGCCACTTTAAGCGCCAACTTCATTGCTCACTGTCGCGAGCCACTTCGGGCGTTTCCGGTACTTGAGTCACGAGTTTTGGAGCCACGGAAGGTTTCGGTAAATTTTGGCCATGATATTTTGACGGCCTGCCACACGGAATTAACAAACAAAGTAAATAACGTAAATAAGGAAAACTGTTTTTATGTCGGTTGACAGTGTTTCGGTGTTTTCTAAACTATAAAAAAACTTATTAATTTTTGGATTTAAAATGTTTGGTTTTCTTGGCTCTTGGTACGTACTGTGTAAAAAAACGTTTTCCTTATTGAATTTATATTATATTGCTTTTAAGGACACAAAATATGAAAGAGGTCGATCAAAATAAATAAGAACTAAAAGTTCAGTTCACCGTGTCTTTATCACATTTGATAAAGACACGGTGAAAATATGACCTTTTAGTTCTTATTTATTTTGATAAATGCATTTTCATCAAGTAAAAGCCACCTCATTTCAAAGAGGTTGATAATGCCTAAATCGTGTGGAAACCGTTCAAACCGCCAGCTATTCAAAGATACCAGTACATGTTTTTTAAAAGATAAGGATGAACCTACTGGAACATCTATTCACACCGAATTAACAATGGATGAGTTGACTCTAAAACTGGAACAGCTGAGTTTTGCAGCCAAAGAAATTGAAGATTTGTAAAGAAGAAAAATCGCTATATGTTTTAATCTACGATACTTGCGTTGAATATGATATGGTTCATTAGTTAATATTTGAAAGCATAAAGGATTAAGTCCCCATTACGAGTATCAGAGCAATAAGTTGCTTTAATCAGTTTTTTTAAAATTTTTAACCTTAAAATATTGTTGTTTGGGAGTTATTGTTCAGAAATTTTCGCTAACACAATTTTTCGGTAAAATAAAAGTCGGAAGATGACTAACACTGTGTATTTTGTAAAAGAAACAAATTATCCCGACATTCCTAGGTCCGACAAGATTTCTTTATTTTAAGGCTGTATCCATTGTGCTTATGTGTGCGACTCGGAGACCGACCGACTCGCGTCTGACTAGAAGCAAAGGCACCCTGCGTGGAATCTTATTATAAGTCACAAAACTATGACATTAGACAAAAATATTTAACAAATATAATCACAAGATCAAACGAACTTACCTAAATGATGTTCGATCTTGATTATATGAATGCCTCGTTGAATTAAATAAGGATGATGTAGTACCTGCACTTCGGCGTTATCGCTCACTATGTTCAAAGGTCAAATTACTCACCCCGGCTGTGTCGCACCCCCGGCTCGTGACTCGTCCCGATACGTACGTAGTTATTTTTAAAGCACATCTTGTTGCAACTTATAACGGGTTAAGGGAGGGTTGGACCTTATTTACTTCAACGAGGCATTCATGTAATCAAGATCGAACATCACTTAGGTAAGTTCGTTTAATCTTGTGATTATATTCAGCCCCCTTTCATAAATAAGGATGACGTAATTATTTAAAGACTGTTGCAACAATTAAACACATATTCAGTAAATCTATTAAAATATGTCGAACAAACAGGAAACGAAAAAATCATTATTAACGAAAATAAAAACTAAAGAAAGCCACAGTAAATAGAAAATACTTAACGCAAGAAAGGTGATATTCTTACTTATGTACCAAGTACTGTTTCGTCAAGTACTTGAAATTACAGGTTTATTAGACACTGTGGTAAACATCCTGGAATTATTTCACCAGCCTGCAGCTCTTCTGATAGTGTCATAGTTTAGTCCTTTTCTATTAGCAGCTGATACTGCAGCATGTCTTATACTATAGCCTGTGAATTTATTTATGTCAATACCGCTCTTGCCTAAAGCACTCTTAATCCAACGACTAAGTGTTTGCGTAGAGGCCTTATGAAAAGGGTTTTTAATTGTTATGAAAAGAGATATTTCTGTTCCTGTGTTTTAGTTTTTTCCAGATTAGCCAAGAGGGTCTGGGCTACACAAATATGTGGGTCAGATTTTAGAAACGATCACAGTAACAAAGGCTGTGGTTTATTCTTTTTTGTTGTTTTAATCCTTTTTGGCATAGTAATCTGAATTGCATCGTTATTTATATGAATGAAAGGAATCTCTGTCAGGGAAAAGGTCTGAAGGCGTTGTTGCAAGCGCTATACAAAGTTACACATTTTTGAGTGAGAACTTCTAGGTTAAGTTCAGCATTTTTAAATTGTTTAAGAAAATTCAGAACAACAGAGGGATCTCAAGTATTTTTGTACTTGGGTAAGCTAGGCCTTAACATGTAAGTTCCTTTAAAAAACCGTTGAATTCTAAAATTGCTGAGCCAAATTAGGACCAGCTATTTGCGCTATAGCTGACCTATAAGAGTTTAAGGAAATATATGAAGCTCCATTGTTAAACTGTAAGGACAAAAATTCCAGAACGTTTACTACACTTACAACAAATGGATTAATCTTTCTGGAGGAACAAAATTCCCACCAGAGTTTCAAGCCGCAATTATATTGCTTCAACGTTGCTTCGGAATTAGAAGCCATGCATATTTCTAAGGACTCATTTGGAACTTGTCCACGCAAGAAAGCTTCCCTGATAACTTGGCGGCAATTAGGGAAAGGTTGGTCGATAAGGGGTACGGTATGCCCTAGCAGTTCCCGGTTTTTTGGTGAAGGGCTTAGCACTCTTTAGTTGCCCAAATAGCCACTCGTCAATTGGAGAGTCCAAGAGCGTTTTCTTTAAATCTTTATTTAAGTTCATAGAGACGAGATTCCTTCTGGAAATAGTTTCCCGATTATGGATGTCGGAAAGGAGACGACCCGCATCACTTAACTTTTGAGCTTTGAGTAAGTCCGTTACGACTAAACCGATGGCAGACAAACATGAAGCAATTTGAGCCTGTAAATTACTGAGGCGATGGTCTCTAGTTTGTACAGCTTCTGTTGTCGCTTCTTTCACAACGGTATTTAACTTTGGTGGGCGCAAACCCATACCGTTTTCGGGACAGGTGTATTTCGTTAACAAATTTTTGCGTTTTTCAGGGTGTAAACCCTTCTGGGCAATATTGATCACGTTTTGCTGAATAGGTGGACCAGAATCTTTATTGTTGCCGCCCTCGTCTCCTATTAAGGACAATATCTCTGGTTCCAGAGAGCCGCTCCGTTGATCATTAAGGTTGTCAGTTTTCGTCAAGCAAGTGACATCCTCCTCTGTAACCAAAACAAATGCGTTGTTATTGTAAACAATAGATTTATTGTTATCACAACCAAGCTAAAATATATTGTTACTGTTATCCAAAACAGTCTAAAAAGTATTACTGTTTTCCGAAACAGTTTAAAATATATTACTGTTATCTCAAACAGTTTAAAAATATATTACTGTTATCCCATACAGTTTAAAATATATTATTGTTATTTCAAACAAATATATTACTGTTATCCCAAACGGTATAATATAATTTTTCTGTTATCCTAGACGGGCCCAAATAATAATAACTTACTATTATTTTCAACCAGCTTTCCTGTTATCCCAAACAGGTGAGGATAAGAAATTGCTGTATAGATATTTACCTTCATTATTCTCCACATCGGAGCAGTCACTCGGATTTTGTGAACTAGGTGCACTTTCACAAGAACTTTCTGATAATAATTGTCGTGTTTTTTTCCAATTTTTCTTTTCTAACACATCCATTCGGTGCTCCAATCTTTGAAGAATCGTCAAGACGGAACTTTTTCCCTCCCGGGTCACTGATGACCCGGGCGAAGGCGAAGGGCTACGTCGCCCGTTTTCGTGAACACATTGACATAACAGTACACAGGAAATAACACGCAGATCTGAACGAATCCGCACTAAAACGAAGACTGAAGTAGGTACGTATCGGGACGAGTCGGGAGCCGGGGGTGCGACACAGCCGGGGTGAGTAATTTGACCTTTGAACATAGTGAGCGATAATGCCGAAGCGGAGGTACTACGTCATCCTTATTTACGAAACGAGGCTGAATATAATTAATATTGAAATGATGTATATTGTTCAAATCTGAGCCATTACACATAAGTTATAATGACATAACAACAACAACTCTGGAGTACTCACACTTGTTTTTATGAAAGGTAGGAGTAAAAAACAAAACTATTGTTTTAATAAAAAAACATCGATTGCAATACCCAGATGCATTGGGAACAGTTTCTAAATTTCAAAATGAAACCATTGGAACATGGGTCAACCATCGTCAACTCCGTTACACATGCAATAATGAGTAACTTCGGCAACTCATAATTTACCCAAGAGGTCTTGCATTATAACTTGAACGTGGTACTCAAGAGCAACTTTTGAATTTTTTATGCCAAAACTCTTTGTTTAAAGAATATATTCGGCGACCATATGACAAAATCACAGATATTGCAGATTTGATACAAATATTTCCCTGCACTTGATAATTATAAATATGATACGTTTTCAAACATAGTTGTCCCTCATTATTAAAAATTCGTGAACTTTTCAATTTAAAATGTCCGTTAATGTCCACAATATGACTTTATTTTAATAAATACCTGCACTTAATTTCCAAGCACCCTTCCACAACACTCACAAAACACTAATCTGAGATGAAGCTAGTTGAGGTCACTTTTCACATATTAAAGAAAAACGTCGGTCTTTATAGTATTATCCACTTTTAAAATAAGGCCAGATTCAAAGTATTTATAAGTTAGTGTAAAAGTTATGGGAAAATCCACTTTAGTGACTGGTGGAACTCTATTAATTGAATAGTCTAAACTATCCATGTCTAAAATAAATGGAACTAAACCATCTTTCTTGTAACAATTTCTTTCAATAATGACTCTCCATCTCAAAATAACTAACACCCAGCACGCTGCAACAATCGATTTTAACATTTCAAAACTCACCACACTAATGATTTCCTACCAGACCTACTGCAATTGTTTGCCGTTGACGGCCATATTTGATCACGTGGATTCGACTGCCTAATTCCTGCTGATTCGCAAGAACTAAACAAATTAATAACCAAACAAAACTAACTTAATAGACTTAGAAAAAGGAGAGAAAGGTGTAAGTAACCCTTTCAATAAGCAGATATTATAAACATAATTGATTTCGATCATAACCAAAAATATAAAACATTCGTAGTCTAGGTATTAGCTTAAATATAATACAAACGATAATAGAATAATTCCTTACAACTTATTCGATATTTTTGACGTATGATGCACAAATGGACAAACCAAAAAATAATAATACCAATAATAACCAAAAAATAATAATACCAATAATAACCAATTTGCAGCAATGTGATACGAAACAGTTCATATGTATCAGACTTGCTAGTGCAGATGTAGACTAGCTCTGCAATATAACTATAACTCGTGCGGTTTTTTCTATTTTGCGCCTGCGAACCTGCAAAATGAATATTTTTGCGCCCACCCTTGACAAAACAGTTTATTCTATCTTACTTATTATTTAAAAAATATAAAAATACCACCAAGTTGGCTCCTTTATCACAGTTTTTCAGTTGCACTTAATAATTTACCTTCCAAGAAGGCAGTTATCGGGGAATTTCGGACTCTAGCAATATTTATAGTTCGAGATAGCTCGACAAACAGCTTTCGAGAAAACATTTGTTTTCTGTAACCTAAACTAAGACTAAATTTTACACGGTACTTAACTTACTGCTGATTTTCATCTCAACTTACAGTTTTTTCGTTCTAAAGTGTCTAATTTGAAAAGATTATTGACGGCAATAACATTATCAGCTTATTTCATATCAATATGCAGTGCCTTAGCAACAAGGTTGATCAAATTATTTTTTTTTACCAAATTCAAGGTAAGCATATTTTGCATAGCAGGCTTTCTGAATCTAATATAAAGAATGCAAACATTCATGGATATTATCTTGCTGACTACTTTTGTAGGGAGATTGGTAGACATGGTGGTGTATGCATGTTTGTTAAAAATGATATAACATACAAGCCAGTGAGCTTAAGTAAATATAACCAAGAATTTGTATCTGAGTTTTGTGCAGTTGAATTGTATTAGATTAAAGCTATTGTTATAACATGTTATCGGTCTTGTTCTGGTAAGTTTCAGGCATCTTTAGATAGCTTGGATCTCGTTTTGTGTGAATCACTTGAAAAGCAGCAAAACATTGTCCTACTGGGTGATTTTAATCTAAATTTTAATACTCATTCACAAAGACTCAGTTCATTTCTTTTGTTACTCGACTCTTTTGGTTTGACTGTAACAATCTCGGCGTGCACTAGGGTAACGTGTGGGTCTTTAACATGTATTGATAACATTATAACTAATTTGGAGATTCCTAGTGGATCGACAGGTGTGTTCGATCCCTATTTGTCTGACTCCAAAGGACAGTTCCTCATTTATGGCAGTGCAGGGGCGAAAGAACCAGAAGTTTGGAGAAGACGCTTTACTAGGGTGGGTTTCATAAAGTTTCTCAAGGTATTGAAACTAAAACAACGTGGTTGGTTAATACTTATAATGTTAATACTTTAAGTAGCTCTCATCTGAGAAAGTGTAAATCTGGTGAGCCACCTGTTCATTGGTTTTCCCCCGAACTAAGAACACAAAGAGACCTGTATGGTATGAAAATAATATGTGACGCAAAAAAAGAAGCAGAAAAACACTCTCTTTTTAGAAAGTTGAGAAACGATTATAAAATATCCTTGGAATCTGCCAAAAGAGCTGCGTATGATAGTTTTCTATTCTATATTCAAAAAACAGAGTTAAGCATAGCTGGCGATTAGTTAATTTCGAACTAAACAGAAATAATCGAGACAGGCACTGTGTTGGGGCAACTTTATTATCAGGTCACTTTAATAAGTATTTTAGTGGAATTGCAAATAATATCATAAAAAATCTTCCAAATTCAACATTGGGCAGCTCTTGTTTTTTAAAGGGTTTGAGGGCACCGAAGTGTTCTTTTTAGTTGTTTCCTACGACCCCTGAAGAAGTTTTTTCATCAATAACGAACTTAAGAATTCATCAGCGCACGATGCATTTGACTTGAATAGCATACTCAAGGAGACCGCGAATTTTTTTGTGGAACCTTTGACTAGTTTGATAAATCGTTGTTTTACCGAAGGAATATTCCCGATAATTATCGTCCTATCTCTATCATCGTTGTTTTCTCTAAAGTTTTTGAAATCCTGTTAAAAGAGACGCAATATAATTTTTTTGGTTTCAGAAGCAAGTTCTCCACAACTAGAGCTTTAATGAGGGTGGTGAAGGACATAGTCGGGGGCCTGGAAAGGGGAGAGCACTTAATGATTTCACAGTGCGACCTCTTATGTGTTTCTCATCAGATTCTCTTGAGCAAGGTTGAATTTTATGGAGTGCGTGGTGTTCCACTCAAACTTTTTAAGTCCTATTTAACAGATAGACAACAGTTTGTGAGCGTAAAGAACAATAAGCCTGATTTGACTTGCTTTAAATTTGGAGTACCCCAGGGCTCCGTTCTGGGACCCCTACTTTTTATTATATACATAAATGATATTTACCAGTACATGATGCCTGATACTGAAATTGTGCTGTTTGCTGACGACACAACGTTTATGAATTCAAACAGGAACATCACTACCCTGAGTAATATTGAAACATATACTTCATCTAAGGCCAAAGCATGGTTTTCAGCAAACAATCTACAACTTAATGAAGCTAAAATGAAAAATTTATTAGTGTCTAGTAGCAGTAGGTTGACATGTGGGGATGCAAGATTCTGGGCGTTACCTTGGATGACACTCTGAATTCGTCAGAACACATTGGCGAGCTAAGTAAAAATCTTTCAAATATTCGTTTTCTTGATGTATTGATGTATTGAAGTCAACTTACTTTGGTTTATTTCACTCGCGTATAAACTATGCCACCATACTGTGGGGTAACTCCTCTTATGCCATTAAAATATTTAGGATGCAAAAAAAAAATTATCGAACACTGTAAGCCATTGTATATTAAACATAAAATAATGACGGTTCCGTGTATATTTATATTTCAAAGTGTTCTTGAGATACACTCCAAGACCGATAGTTTGCCGAGGGGTTCTGATTCTCATAGGTATGACACTCGGAGTGCAAATAAACTCGTGCTTCCGAGATAAAGGTTGCAGAAATCAAAACAAAACTCTCCTTATATAAAGCTTTCTAATGGATTGCCAAAATCTTTTAAATGAACGAAAAACATTTTAAATATAAAATTAAAAGTTTTCTTTTAAGGGTTATTATAGCGTGCGTTGGTAAATTTTTTGAAGAAAACATCGGTAATGACGTGTTGCGGGGAGTTGTGCACCCTGTACAATATCTAAAACTAACCAAAACTATTCACGATAAGGTTATATTTTGTTTGGATATGACGAGCTTCCCAGTTTGAATAGGGCTTGTTGGGAGCCTACAGGCTATCCCAAATTTTGAACTAGTTAGTGAATATTTAGGATATTTATTCTTTGATATTTACTTAGATGACGGCCGAGGGCGGAGCGTGGTCATTTCCAATTGTACTTTGAGGTCCAATGAGTGATACAGATTCAAATCTGAACTCTCTACCATAACCGATAGTAAGCTCGATCTATAGACAACCGAGAACAGATACACAAAAAGATCGATATCTCCAGTTTAGCGGAAAATCCAGAAATAAAATTTTATCAGCATATACGTTTAATGAAACAGATACTACTTTAAAGATTGCAGCAATGTCAAAAGTAATAAGAGACTATTTTTCAATTTTGTTTTTCAATTTGTTATAAACATAAGATTTTTTTAAAACTAGAGTTGAAGAATGCGTTTTTCATTCATCTTTTATGGAGGATGTGGTTTGTTTATTACGTTAGGACGTCATTTTAGCATGTTTTCGCCTGTTTTTTCAATTTATTTGCTATATTATCTTTAAGCGGAATTCTTCAGGTAATTCTGTGAAATCAGTTCATGAATAATCAGAAATCGGTAAATATTCGGAAAGCTATGAGACATCCTGTTGTTTACCTGAATTTATCAAAACGACTTTATACCCGCTTTATTGCTACGGTAAATACCGATTTCCAATCGATCTACAAAATGCTTCTCTTTTATTCGTGTGATTTATTGCAGGAAAATATGGACCAAACATATCGTTCCAAATGGATTATCTCGGTCGACCTACGCTCGTCTGCTTACACCGTATTATAATTCGGTGAGTATTATTTATTCAATTTAAGTGCATTTCGCAATAAATTTCAGCCGTATTAAAATGTTTATGGGATCTTATACCTTCCAGTTAGTTGTTATTTATACGCCACGTTAATGTTATGGTGAACCATATAGATACGCACCGGTAAATTTACTATTTTCCATTTTTATTGGCATTCTCCGAACAGGGCAAAAAATATGTTGCTAGCTCTCCTTTCTAAAAGAAAGAGGCGAAATTTGATATTTATCAGATATTTGTTACCATCTTAGAGTTATAGCTTGTTTTTGCGATATGTGTATTCGTTCCACGGTGACTTAAGGGTTCGTATAAAAAATGTTGACAATATTTTCAAAGCAACTTTTACGTAGAATTTTATGACATATGTATAATATTTTAAAAACGATAGTTATTAATAGGAACAACACAGATATATTATAGAAAGGAGGTTTTCCTTTAAGGAGGTTCAATTTGGTCCACCTGGTACATATTTTAGATCAATTTGATACACTGAGTACACAGTAACACAATCACTTTGAATTGTAGAGCAATACGTTATATTTAATTAATACTTCTGTTGCAGACCGTCATTACTTTCGATATTATTGAATAAATTTGTTGCTGCATTTACTAGCAGGATTCTTTTACGTAGTTTCATTTCACGTTTTCACTGTGGCAATAACTGAATTGCACCACTGCGTATGGTAATATTCTTAAACTTTGAATTATCAAACCAAATAATAAGGCAACAGCCCAGGTAAATTCCACCATGCTTAGAGTTTGAATTTTAGTAGTCGTATTTCACGAAACTGTAACTTTAAACGTCGTGGTTTGGGTTTATTTTTTCTTTTTATTTTATTTTTTATTTTAATTTAAATTGAAGTTTTTAGTTATCGATTAATTTTGTTTCAACGCAAATAAAGATGCGATCTCCAATTAAGCAAAGTTTTCAAAATCATTGAAAATAAGGTAAGCATTAAACAAAAATCTGCGGTAAGAATTGACGATTAAATATTACTATTTTAAACAATTTCTTTCTTTTCTTTAAATTAACTCTCAACTAGGCGCTATACAGGGTGTCCGTTATGTAAAGGTTGGGTCAATTTGAGAACGAAAATAGATACCAGAATACAATATTCTTCTATTCCAATTACTTCAAAATTGTTGTCCCTATTTTTATCATAGTTCAAATTTTGAAGTTGATCATGGCGCCTCTAGTTGAAAAATAAAAAAAAAATCTGACTGGCAAAATTACTTTCTGACTAATTCTGTCGGCATTGTGATTTCTTGCCTTCCGTTAGTCTTCGGCACTTACGCTGTATCTAACCTTTTGAGTTTTGAATTTTTATAATCCTGCTCAAGACCCTGTATACACTTTACGTGCTACGTAACCTTTTAAAAATGTTTATTCTAACTCAAGCAGGCACTGCCTTTAGCAATGCGAAATCAGGCCGAAAAATTCCTCTGGCTTCACCGCAAAAGGGGCTCCACATGGAAATGCAATGTATGTAAATAAATTTATTTCCGCGTACAACAGGATGCATGCTTTTGTTGTGTTTTGTGCGGTTCCGCATGGGAGAAATGCACACTATTCTATTTCAAATAGGTTCGGCCACAAGTAGATATGCCTTTTGTTTGATGCGTTTTCCCTTTTGAGAGACGTTTCGTAAAAATCAGGAACGTATGCGCTATGTATGTTAAACGAAAATTGCAAACTAAATGGATCCTGATCTTTGGTGTGTCATGACAGACATCCACCACCTCCTTTCCTATTGATGACAGCAACAGTTATAGTATATGATGACTGGTTGTGAGAAAGATCAGCTGCAGCTATATATTTATTTATTTATTTATAATGCATCAATCAACTACACTGAAACTACAATGGAAAATATCCAGTTTATGCTGTAGGTTATTACAATTTAAGTTCGTAAAATGCAAAGGGCTCAAGATCCTTTCGCCAGTTGTTTCAGTAGTTCTGGTCACTCAACTTTGAATTCCAATAAATTTTTAAAGTAAATTAAAAATTGTTTTGGTTTTTGGGATTCATCAAACTCAAGACCCAATACTTAGACTCAAGCCATATTTCAAAAGAAACTAGAGACTGGAGACCAGTTGAGTGTTACTTTTCTACAATGACGACATCTTTACTGTTAATGATGCACAATGAGTAAATAAAAGATTCTGTACTATTCTATTAGGAAAAATCTCTCGACATGCACACAATCATTACCACGCATTTTCTGATAAGACAGATTAACGAAAGGCATCGAAGATATTTCCTTGTTTGGCGCGCCAACTGGTCTAGGGTTTAATAATTCTAAAGAGGAATTTCAATGTACGAGTCCGCAAATTCTTTACAACCTATTTCTAAATACCGCGAGCCCTTAATTGAAAACGATTGATTGAAGTGCGACTTGCGGGTCGTTTGGACCTTTACACTGAGAGAAAAATTTTCTTTGCTATTCGTATCCCATAGAGACAAAATGTTTAAGATATAAAGAGTTTCATCTGGCACAAGCGGAGTCACTGCTTAATAAACAAGTGACTAAAGAAGTTTATCAACGTGTTTGAACTACCATTAGCAGGAATATATTAACTGAACAGTGTGTGATGCGACCGCCAGAATGTTCAACCGTCAAAATACTACAAAAATAAAAAAATAATTTCTAACCGCCTTTATAAATTTATATCTGTCTGTGGCAATGAGAATGGGTTACCCAGTTGATTATATTCTGGTCCATTGTATAATGATTCTCTTTTCCCCTCAATTTTGCTCTCCAGAATTGACTGCAGCATATTATTTTTTTTCATTCCTTACAATGTGACCAAGGTATGCAGTTTTTCTGTTCTTTCTTTATGCATTCTTTGTAGCTCGTCGCGTCGTTGTTAGTCATCTTATCACTCCAGAAATTCTTAAGCAATTCTTAAGTACGTTCACATTTCGAACGTCCAGCGTCCAAGCCTCTACTACATTTAATAATATAGATCATTAATACATTTAACTATCATTTTATGGATGCATTACGTACCATCAATCTGACTGACTGAAAATTGACTTCCACTAGGAAAAAAAAATTAATGAAATGCTAAATTTGAATCGTAAATTTTGCATTTTAGGTTGCACTAAGTGCAAATATTACTTCAAAAATGTACATTTTTGAGTTCTTTAAGCAAAAAATATATTTTTGCTAAAATTCAAGTTGTTGTCCCAGTAAATGCGGGGCTTTTTTTTATTTCGGGCATTTCTAGATTTGATTATGTTCAGGGTCGTCATGGGGAAAAAGTTACCGAAATTTGTCGTAAACTTTGAAAATAGGGTCGATTTGTATTAAACGGTATTATAAGTTGCGTTGAGTACTAGGATTTTATGTATGTAGGGAAGGGTGGGGCCAGCCGGCTCCCCTATGCCTAGGAGACCCAAAAATTAGCCAAATTTTTTTTCCGTTATTATAATTATAAATTCTGGTTATTTGTACATTAGCCCTTTGCGTAATGCCAGGGTTAAAATGAACCTCTTAAAAATTCTAAAAATAGTTATTCCATATTATTATAACCGATTTAGCCTAAGGCCAGAGCTTTCGAAAATCTTGTAAATACCAATAACAATTTTTTTAATAGATTCAAAAATAGTCGCTAATCAGTAACGTTTTTTTTATGAAATACTTTTTAATTAAAAATTATAATTATTATATATAACATTATAAATAGGGAAGATGTAAGGGTGTGTCAGCTATTTGAAAAAAACTAACTGGATATCGCTATTGGTGGTTAACATTTTATATTTCGAAAGTTTGACGTGACTTTGAAATTCGGTTGGGTGCTTATTTAAAATGCTCTTTATATAGGATGTACTCTCAACCGAACTCTATTTATTGTGCGAGTCATATAGTGAGTCCGCTTATTTTAGAGGAGTCCTTTGGTATAAGAATGCCTTTAGCAGGCAGTCATTTTCACGCTGTGTATTTTTTCTATTTTTTCATTTTCCCCTGCCAATAAAAACTGATTACATTATCATTTCAGAAATGAATCTCATAAACATGGACGCGGAAAACCGCGTGGTATTGAACGTGGGCGGTATCAGGCACGAAACGTACAAAGCCACCCTGAAGAAGATCCCGGCAACGAGGTTGTCCCGTCTCACCGAGGCCTTAGCGAACTACGACCCGATCCTCAACGAGTATTTTTTTGATAGACACCCGGGCGTATTTGCGCAAGTTCTTAATTATTACAGGTAACGCGTATTTATGTTGTAATTGTCATTATTTAAATTTATCTACAAATTAAAATTATCTAGGCAACTATTAATTGATCAGGAGTAAACTTTCATTTTTATGCAGGGTGTTCGCACATTATTTTTTGTTCACGAAGCTGTTTTATAATTTTTTGTAAGGTCATTATAGGAAAAATGTCTTAACAAACTCGCCGTTGATTATTTTCTCATTTGTTTGTATTTTTTGTTTAAAGCCATAATTAAGCATCATTTTATTTTTTCTTGGTAATTGCACTTAAACTGTAGTATTAAAGGAAAAGCGTAGCTATAGCCTAGTGATAACTAATTATTTTAAAAATGATTGAAGCATCGCCTTACTATTTCCATTTTGAAGTTAACATAAAAACTAAAAAAAAACATTAGTGCAAGTATATTCACTTAAAGAAATTTTCCGTTTTTCCATAATGAGTATCTAATAACCGAACATTGATTGCGATGCAAGATATAATTAATAATAATAATATAATAAAATAATTTTTTAATTATGAAAATTGAAGGAATTAAACGCTTAAGCTGACCCCATAATTTAAAAAGTATATATATGCATTTAAAAAGAACGAAAAGAAATTCTAAAATCTTTTCTACAATTTATTGTTTGTGAAGCTTTGACAATTTGTAGTAATTGTTTAAATAGTTGATGAATAAATGACCTATTTACTGAATGACAATTAGATGAGATTGTTATTGATTTTCAACTTACGACTAAATAATAGAAGTGGTAAATTTATCTGTAGAAAATTATTAAACTGGGGCAAAGCCTCGGCGAAAACATTATAAATGCATTAACAGGATATCAAAATTTGATACAATTATAAAAGGTGTATTTATTTTAGTTCTACTTAGAAAATTATAGAAATACTATAGAATATATCTCTTACTGTGATAGTGATAGTGAGTCGAAATTAATTTGGTTGAAAAAATAGGTCCTCCAAAAGATTATTTTTCTACCCGTTCTCGTATTATTTGCTCGGTTTGGGTTTATACCAATTTGATCTATATTGCTTCGGATAAACCGCCATAAAGCTCCCACGTCTTTACCATATGAACAGCTCCGAAGCCGGTAATAAAACTCTACTAACATATTTCAATGCCGTCAAATTGATTTCCTTATACTCCCACCCGGAAATCTTTTGCGGAACTCGGCGGTAGCTTAATAAACAATATTTTACCCCATTTTCGAAAGGAAGATCCCTTCCTACAATCAATATCAGCGGCGACACACATTTACTGAAACTAGTTTGCACTATACGGAAATAAAAAAATTGCTAAATTAGAACGGAAGGCGTAGTGGATCTGTGTACACTAAATTACCATTTCTAACAGAAATTACCTCTAATTTCCTTATGAAATACCACTAATTTCCACTGATATACGTGCCAAAGAAACTTTGGTGTTATTCTATTCTAAAATAAGTGCAATGGAAACACAACTCATAATAGTTCTTTCTTGCAATATGATTTCTTAAAAAATGAAAAAAGAATTCTGGAACATATTCAGGATATGATAAAGCACACGTTTTAAAACACCTAACCTAAAAAAAACTAGCATTCTATACACATGTTTGGTATAATTATCTAACACATTAACATAACAATACAATGGTTACAACAGGCAGAATGTTTGCCCATCTTGTTTATTGCAATATCAATTTTAATTTTTATAATATATTCCAAAAAGCTAAAATCTGTGAGAAAATGTAACTAATTTGATATTAAAAGGTTTATTTATGTGTAAAAATAAAGGTTTAGGTTCTTAAGGATTCTTTAATAATCTTTTTTTTTTGTTTATATTCAACTTAAGGTTTACCTTGTAAATTTTTTTTCTACTCCCGTCTGAAAAATACCTAATTACACACCGGTCTTGCCTGCGGCAAGTTAGTTTCCTTTCCCGCGGGTCCGAACCACTTCGGACATGTTAGTGGATGTATTCGTGTTGTTTTGCGAAAATGTATCTGTTCACTTAAAACAAAGAGATATTTCATTATTGATTTTCTTAGGGACTTTTCCAATGTATCATCTATTTCTACAGAATCTAACAGACGCACTTTGAAAAACTTATTATCACAAATTTGCTATTAAAAATGCCCTTCAATTTCTTATTATTAAAAATATAAATTCACTAATTATAAATAATTGCCACCCATTTTTCTTAAACTTTCGATACTTATCGCAAATGTTTACACTTAAATCTGAAGTCCCACTCAATTGAAACGGAAAAGAATAGATTGTTAAGTGCTCAATTTGCCACCTACATATCAACTTTTGAAGTTCCCTCTCCGCTAGAACAAACGAAACAGCTGCAGCAATTCCGTCTCGCTTAATTTGGGTATGTTAGTTTAGGACCATTTGCCGACTGTGCTGAAGTTGAATTACGGGTGCGAAGTTTGTCTGATTCTAGCGCATAACTATGCACCAAGTTATTAAAAAAAAACGAATTAGCAATTAACGGTGCTGTATCGTCAAACTATTATTGTATCAATTGTAAGAATGAGGATACCAATTTTAATCGAATGACAAAATAAAGAAAAACTAAATAATTTTAGATTTAACACAGGTTTTAAACCAATTAAAATGGTGGGTGTATTCGAAAAAATCTAAAAGCTTTGTGTGCATTGGTTCACTTTTCGTTTGACATATATGGGGTAGGAAAGCTGAAACTTATTAAAACTCGGAACTTCATTTCGTTTTGGAAGAGTTTTTTTTTAACACTGAGACATGATCTTCCATATTCAGAAATTAAAAAACTGGTTTCGTTATAATGCTAGTGGAACAAGAACATTGATTTACAAATACAAATAAGCAAATGATATCCCTAGATTAACCGTCAATATCTAGGCAACATCCATGCGGTTTTTAACTCTTCTTCTTTGATCCATTCTTCAGTTGCGTGAACATTAATGTTATTGCTATTTGATGTAGCTACTTTTAATTTGGGAGGTAAATAGTTTTCCCTAATATTTGGATACCCTACAAAGAGGTCCACCCGTTTCAGATTTATTAATTAACTTTTAATATGAATTTTATTTCAACAATTTACGAATCTTTCTTTTATTTAAAATATGCCATAGTAATAACATTTCATACAAAATTTCTGATCGCATCTGTCGTTACAAATTCTAAATGAGCTTTCGTCACTTGACTGACAGAGTTTTGCCATTCTAATTTTGATTTTGTTCGTTCTAAAATAAAAAGATACACCTATTTCTTGGTAATTAACTGAAAAGAAACAAGAATTTGAAAAATAATCAGAAATAGACAACTGGCAACCAATTTCATCTTTTTTAGGGAAAATAAAAAATTTGAGGGTTGGAAGAAATTATTATTCAACAAACGCTAATTTTTTTTTTATATCGAACGGAATATTTTTTCCTAACCCTCCTACAAGTCTACATTTACGCAACATAATTGAACATGCATTGTTTTAGCACTATTTAATTGTTTATGCAGCATACGAACAGAAATGTTCAAGCGGATATTAGACAATATTAGACAAAGAAATAGGTAAACACTCAGCGACCGTTCCGAATTTCATTAAACCATCAATCCCAATTCCTTTTAAGTTATTATTGCCTTAACATCATTTTTCTTCAGTCGATATATATTTCATTTGTCAATGCTCCATATTTTAATGAAACGTTTTTGTCAAACTCATGTTTATTTGAAGGACAGGAAAACTGCATTATCCTTCAGATGTGTGCGGACCTCTATTTGAAGAGGAACTTGAATTTTGGGGCCTTGACGCGAACCAGGTGGAACCTTGTTGCTGGATGACGTATACGCAGGTGAGTAAATATTCAAAAAGCTTATTGGGTTTTCCTGAGCGGGTATAAATCAGCAGGACACCATCGCTGGCTTGAAAAATCTCGAGTACCAAAGGAACTTGTATTTTCAGCTGCTTAATCTAAAGAAATACGCACATTTTCATTTCCAAAAATATTGGATTCGGTGTTTTCCACTATTATTTTTGAATGCTCCAAATTTGTACTGAATTATTTTTACATTGTTTGGTATTTATTTAAAATTTGGTTCTAATATATAAATTTAATTCCCACAACCAGAATTATTTTTTCTTGCATTTTTTTCTTACACCCTTCCAACAAATCTCGAAAACCATTTCGTTTTTATCAAGCGGTCCAATCAAATTATTTGTATGTTTGTGCAGAACCGCTCCCGAAATTTATTTACATTCCTGATTTTGATGGATTGCCTCTCATATTTGACTTTTGTAATGGAAAATAAATAAAAAATATATGAGCACGGCCATTTGGACCGTGTTCAGTGGTTCGTGCTTTCGCGGAAACACCGTCATTTGTTACAAAACTGCAAAAAATTATCTTTGCATCGATAAACAATAAAAATGTTTTAGTTTAATGTTGAATTGTTTTGAAAAATAGATTTTGTTGTTATCGCTTAGGTCTCGTAGAAGTTTCATTCTGCGTTTTTTTAGTATTTATTTTGTATATTCTTTGCCAAGAAAATTATAATTTATTCTTTGTATAATAAAGCAGAATAATGCATAATAGTCCAGAGAAATGTAATACAATTTACAAATATTTGGGAATCCTCCTGATGCGGTTGTTTATAAATCAAACTTACTGACGTTTCCTATTGGTTTCTTCAGAATTTAAGTGAAACAGTTCACGTTTCATTTTTCAGTTTCACTGAAAGTGTGTTAAGCATCTGCAAGTTTGATTTATAAACAACCAACGCAGGAGGAATCTAGAAGATTTGTAAATAGTCAAAACAACGCATAGTAGGAATGTTTTTTTTTTTTTGTAATTGTAATTTTTAAATTAGTCTCAAAAAAGTATTTATGCATCATAAATTGCATTTCATTCATTTTTTCATCATTTCTTCTATGCAATTCGTAAGTAAAGAAGCCCTGATATTTTTATTTAATTTATTTAATTTACAAATTTATTTTCACTTATCTTTTTTCCGAACCAACTTTTTTCTCTAATGAAATTCTGCATCTATAATGTGACTTAGTTAAAAATATGAAATGCATATTTTCCAGTTGATCTTGGCATTGATTTTGCTTTTAGCACCGGAAACTGTATTTTCGATTTTATTTTCATTTTATAATCCTACATTAACAAAAAAATTACTCATTAGCAGCACTAATTTTTGCGCGTAATTAATTAAATCTATTTTTTACATGGGGATAATTAACTCCTACTAATAATATTAGGATTTCAGCGCTATAAAATAAAGAAGGGTCACAATTATTATTATATATAATTATTGGAACTTTTAATTTGTCTCCTGTCTAACGTAAAAAATGGATTTACAGTCTTGTTAACCAATGTGAAATTGTGGGTGCTTAAATTTATATTTAAATTTATATGATCTTATGATAGCATCATCTATCAACATAACCACAATCAGCGATTTCTATGAAATTAACAACACTGTTTTTAATTTTAGCACAGGGATACCCAGGAAACATTAGCTGTATTAGATAGGTTAGATTTAGATACGGATAAACCAAGCGACGAAGAAATAGCTAGAAAGTTCGGATTCGAAGATGATTATTTTAAAGGAACACTGTCGTGGTGGCAGCTCATGAAACCAAAGCTGTGGTCACTGTTCGACGAACCGTATTCGTCAACCGCCGCGAAAGTAAGTTCAAAAATACAAAAAATAATTTGCAATAGTTTACCTAATGTAAACTACGAGGCAGAGTCAAAAGAAAAACGTTGCCTTGGAACCGCTGAAGTCTTGAAAGTCATTCTCTAACATTATTCACGTTCTCCATTTCAACAATGCTAGATGCATGCCAAATGCCAAGAATATTTGAGTGTCGTCGGTATGAATTAAGAAACGTGTTTTTGACCAGGACGGTGATTGGAAATATTGGAAAAGTCACCCTTTTGTTTGAGTTTCCAAGATAATTTTTTGGAAAATTACAAGATGGAGTGAAGCACTCCTCTCACCCTTTTTCTTTGATTGTTGTCTAAACTGAAGATTTGCGACCAGTTTGACAAATGCATCTCTGCTTTGATTATTTGTTTAACAATTCTGTTTCGCATCTGGTTGTGTTCTTCCTCGTTATTATGAGCTGTGAGAATTAGAGGGCCGAACGTTCATTATTTCTAATAGCTCTCAATCACTGTATGTAAGTATTTCATCCTTCTTTGTCAATGTCAAGAAACCTTTTGGCATTGTGGCATCAAAACTTAACATTTTCAGTTTGTATAAGAGAAGTAGCGTTTTACTAGCCTCAAAGTGAACTAAAATTATTGTATTTCAGAAATCTTGGGCGTGCTCCTAATTCCTCTGTCTCAATTGATAAGCAACTTAAAAGAATAATTTATGATGCTGAGGTAGCTTTTGGCAACAGCCTTCAACCTTGTTAACAAATCGAGAAAAGAAATGTAAGCAATGATGACATTATAGTCATAACGGTCAACACCATTTTAAGAGTTTTGTTTGACACTTCCTAGAGACGGTTATCATATTCAAATTGTAAAATGAACTTCACAGACTTTAAAATTCATAAAATTTATAATTTTACAACTTATGTGAAATCATTGGTATTTGTTCACAGGTTATAGGTGTACTATCGGTTTTCTTCATATGCGTTTCTATACTGTCATTCTGTTTAAAAACGCATCCGGACATGAAAGTACCCGTCATTAAAGGAATTATCGTCCGCACTGCATCGAACGGCACTTCTTTCACACTGGACAAAGAAGATACGGATGCTCATGTGGCCTTCTTCTACATCGAATGCATCTGTAATGCCTGGTTCACGTTCGAGATTCTTATTAGGTAAGAATTTTCATAGTACTAACTCGAAGAAATATTGTTAGTGTCATCCAGATTTGGGCACGATTAGTGTTATACCTCGAAACATGAAAAAACTAACTAACCGGTTTCATTACTTTGTAATGTATTGTCCCACATGCTCCTGTTTTATAGTTTTGTGGTTATTTGTTAAATTATTTTTTGTGCAAAATCTTTTTTTACGATATTGGAAATGCAACTAGCAGTTAACTAACCTAATAACCAATTAGGAGTCGATATTCATATATGGATTTAGCGTCAGGGTGAAGCGCATATTCACTTACTATTATATAATGTCATTTCAATAAAACTTATAAGATTACTGCGATTTGCTTTTTATCACAGTCTTTAACAATTACAATCTATTCAAATATTTACCTCATTTGAGTAAATTAAAAGTGGACACCTGACACTTATCAAAACAGAATTTCATTATCAACTTAATCGAATTTAAACAGAGAGCAAGGATAATTTTCGATAGTTTGTTCAATTGCTTGCTTGCTTGATTACTGGAAATGGGCGACGGTAAAGTAAACAATCAGCTTTTCGAACTGGAGGATATCTAATTGCGTCGGGTACACATTAGATATTGTTAACGGCAACGCTTGCTGGTTTGTATTAGTACCTACATATTCAATCTCCCCTCTTTATGTGCATTTTTTTTTCGTTAGACCCTAATGTTCAACTGAGACTTTTCTTGACTTAAATTAGAATTCCTGAGCCCTGCTCATTTTCGATCATATAAGCTTTACGCTGAATTTTGAGGATATCTAAAACTTTGGATACTGTTTAAAATATGACAAATTCGTCACTGATTTTAAAAAAGTTTTTCTCTTGCTAAATGGAGTATCAAAATTGCAGTCGAGATAATGATCATCTATTAATGTTTCATGGCATTTTTCTCTTGTCAAAACAAGGAAATGTTAACTGGAAATTTTGCTCACGATTTGATAGAAACACAATTCGAAAGTTTGAGCTGTAAATAGGACGATGCTTAAAACTTGACTTTTATCGGAGGTTCTTATATTTTTGGTTTATTCTTCAAGTTACCAATTATTTATTTTCAGTTACGCATAGTACATTCGTATCTCTGTTATCCCAGTCTTATCTTCTTTCCTCTTTTTCTCATAAAATTTTGCTTGTATAATATGGATTCGAATTGGATTGGGATTTTAAGAATACTTGAAACTTCGGATACTCAAATATTGATTTGACAGCACAGTAAAAGGCTTATGTGAAGCACAAATCATAGAAATTTTTGTAATTTATGCTATCCGAAAGTGTAATCCAGACTTTACCATACACCATACGACTATGACTTGGCTATTTTTTAAATTACCAACATAAGTTGTGAATGCGTTTAACAAAATAAATTTACTGGCATACGTCACATTTAAAGAATATTAAATTCAATTTAGCTCAAGAAAATTATAAAAGGTGTGCAAGTTTGAGGATAAAAAGTAAATTGTTTGTTTTTTTCGAAAAATTTTTAGAGTGTTAGTAGAAATATGCGAATTAATAATGCAATATGAGGTGAGGCCTTTCTCTTTTTGCAAAAGTTTAGCCTATCTCGTCAACGTAGGACTGGATTTCATCTTTTAGAGAGGGTCAGTTGTTTGTGGTTTGTTCACGTAAACTCGGTCTTTCAAATGTCCCCAAAATAGTCCATCGGCGTCAAATCGCAAGAACGAGACGACCAATTGACATCGCCAAATCGAGAAATTACAGGACCGGGAATAACTGACCGGTTGTGTTGCTCGTGGCGCCGTCTTGCGGAAACCTCAGGCCACTCAATATTAGCCAATTGCGGCAGCTAAATATCGGGTATCATGGTTTGGTTGCGCGGAGAATTCGGGGCAATAGCGCTTCCCTGCTCATTTTGAAAAGAATAGGGGCCGATGATATCGAGGACTGCCTAATTGAAAATGGGTGTCATTGTTGATTGATTGATGATTACGAAAAAAAACTGCTCGAATTTTACGAAGTGACACAATAATTTTCGCCATTTTGATAGTAAATTTTTTTACGGCCTATTTACTTTCTGACTTCAAATTTACTCACTCGATACATTTTACATAACATTTTAATTTCGACGGAACTGCAAAAAATGTATTTAGAATAGGGATGTTAATACTTAATTGATGTATCATTCATTGAATTTCAACATATTTCCATCAGGAATATGCTTAGTTATTTGCCCTGCGTTCCTTCTATTCCAGACTTCCCAACAAGGAATTAAAACACCATATCTTTGATCGATCCATTTATCCATTATCCGTTTTACTTACGGAATAAGGAACCAACGTTTTTTGGCATTTGATACTTAAACTCGAAATTATGGTTCCTAATAATGTCTCAATATTTTTTTATTCATTTTAAGAAAAACAATTTTATGTTAACTTATATCTTAAACGTTCTAAGATTTCACATACAGTGGTAAAATTTGTAAAAAAGATTTTTTTATTATCGCTGACAGTATTTTAGGTGAATATTTTCTGTCTACAGTCTAGTCATTTCTCCACTTCTAGTGTATTTATTGTCAGATGTACTCTCATTTCATGCATTCACAAATCATTGTTGCTTCTGTTTTCCTTGTCGGTTGGATATGGCACCACCACCACCACATGTATCTAAAAGGTCCTTTTATTGAAATGAGATATATAATTATTCCCATGAGCATCGAGACACCATTGAGGAAACCCTTAGAACGTTCTACTTCACTATATCGTAGTCGTTCTCGATCATTCCAAAGATCATTTTACATGTCTCTATCTCTAATTTCTATTCTTCTTTGCAACTTGTCGTTTATTTTACAGTCGTTAATTTCTAGATATAATTTCAATTTCATTTCATTGCGGAAGTCCTTTTCTTGAGTGACCAAACTTCGCCATGGTAGGTATCTCATTCGATGTTGTTGTTTCCCGTCATTTTTGTAGCTTATCGACACTGGTTAATGACACGGTAATATTTACGCCCAGAGAGTTATGCTTTTTGCAGTTTTTGACTCTTTGATTATTTTCCAAAATCAGGTTTTACCGGCTTCCTCCGAAGTTGAAAACTTCCGTTTTTGCAGCACTTGCCTCGAGTTCCCAATTCCCGTACTCCTCAATAAGTTTACGAGTTCCATCATCAAAATCTTGTGCTATCACGATATACAGGCGCAAGGCCGACTGTATGTATTGTGGAAAGGTATATCTGAACTATTGCTTCCGTTTAAACGCCCTCTCACCATATATCTTAAGGAGCGTTGCATGGAGTCGAAATATTTGTTGCTACCTTGATTTTAATTTGGCAATTTTTGTGAAGGTGTCTTACCGCATTTATATTTATTATAGAAAATAATAAAATAAATATTACTTAAACTAGTTCAGCGAACTAGTTTTTTTGAAACAAATAATAGAATTCCACTAAAAGTTTTCAATCTTTTGACAAAAAACGTCAATATGTGCATTTCAGAATGTTGTGTTATCACGGTTTTCAAAAAATTAACTAATTTACATACATTACGAAATGAACTACATCATTTTTATGAAAAGCTCGTGCCAAATTTAAAATCGTGGTAACTTTAAAACATGCGCTTTTTTTAGCATGCTTAGACCACTTTTGATAAGCGCCAAGGGGAGCAACAAAAAAAATATATATATATTTTTGTGACGTTGAAAGGTTTATTATTCATAAGCAAAGGCAAACATTTTTACGAGGATTTTCTGGTGCGAATAAATTGGCCATCTATCTTATACTCCCGGTGACGATTCGGAAAGACAGTTTTGCATTCAATTACTCGTTAGAGACCAAGTTTGCGCTACGGTTCGCAGAGTTTTCGATTAATCTCCTACCACGGCTGATAATCCGATTCAAATTTGTCGTCTAACACGAGTCTCTCGTATTTTTAGTTCCATATTTCTCGCAAAGTCGAATTCGTTCGGCAATTGTTAGATAGTCTAAATTTGTTTATTCGTTTGGTTTTTCTATAGTGAACTGAGACAAGAGAATTTTAAGGATCTTCTAAAGTTGTACTTCTTTTTAGTTACCGATGTTTTGGGCAATGATTATCAATATCAAAGGACTTTACTTTAATATTGTGATAATTATGAAACCACTAAATTTTTGCAATTTCTCAATGCAGTTTCTAGCTATGAGCTGAGCTGAGCTGTGTTAATTTGGTTATTTATTTGGCAATTAATGCAAGCTCGTAATATCTTATATATGCCCACTTACGCTATTAATAAAAGGAAATGACAGCCAACTCTCTTTTTATTAATTTAGATCATCTTAAGCGATAAAGCTTAAACCCCTATTTCTAATTCAACCTACTCTCTACCACTACATACCATATAAACGACCCATTTGATTTTGGTCGGATCTGTTTTAAATCACAGAGATTGTTGCTAAAATCAAATCGCGTCTCAGACATTGAATATAAATATCAATCTGTAGCAAAAGTAAGTTCCATAGGCTGCGTAGCTTGTGTAGTTGGCGCAACACCGTTCTGGAATAACGTCATTTTTTTTTTTTTAAATCTAGGTCAACTGACAGAGACAAACAAATTTTGACAGCAGTCAATGCCGGTTTTGGTTATGTCTTTTAGAATATATTCGTCAAAATTCACTTTGACTTGTTGTGACTATAAACTTTTGCAAGATACCTCGAAGACATAACAGTTTTGAATATCTTGACACCTTTTCAATTGAAAAAAGATCAATCTAAGAATGCAATCTTTCTGCAAATTGATAATGTAATTGAGCGAGCTTCAAATGCTGCACAGCTTGGCTATACTCTTCTTCTTGTATCAGCTTCTTCTCCACGAGACTCTCAGCATGCGTCTATAAGTCCAACCTCCTTGTGGTTTCTCTATTCAGCGTTCCAGGATTTCCTGTTTATGTTGAACGTCTTCATTAATTATGGTGGCAAGGTATTTGTAGTGTCTTACTTGTTCAATTGTTTTCCCGTCTACGATACGCTGACCTGTTGCTGGCTTCCTTTTTGTTATCACCATCATTTTAGTCTTGTTGATGTTCATGTTGAGACCGTCATCTTTGCTAGCTTTCACTACTTTGTTTAATAGTCTCTGCAAATCCTCGAGAGAACCCGCATTCAAAACAGTATCGTCAGGGTACCTAATATTATTAAGGATTTTCCCATTTATTACTATCCCAGCGAATTCGCCTTCCAATGCTTCTCTAAAAATGTTCTCCCAGTATATGTTGAATAGCATTGGAGATAAGATACACCCCTGTCTGACGCCCTTCCGTATGCTGATCTCTTCGGAAAGAGGGTTATCTATTCTGACCTTAGCAGTTTAACCCCATTACAGCTTTGATATAATCTGCATGTCGTGATAGTCGATATTCAGTGTTTGCAGGATTTCAATTAGTTTTTCATGCCTGACATTACCAAACTCTTTACTGTAATCGACAAAGCACACATAGAGATAATGATTAACATCTAAGCATCTCTGGGCAAGAACGTTAAAGGCGAAAATGGCTTCCCGAGTTCCAAGCCCATTGCCGAATCCAAATTGCGTGTCAGAGGTTTCAGTTTCGCATATGTTGTGTATTCTGGCTTGCATGATTCTTAGAAGTATTTTTATTGGATGGTCAAGATTTTTTTGGGATTGTGACAAAAGTAGACAGAAGCCAATCATGGGGAATGTTACCACTCTTGTATACGTCGTTGAACAGATCTAAGAGTACCTGCATCGAAAGTTCGTCAAGCAATTTCAAAAGCTCACAATGCAAATCATCTGGCCCCACTGCTTTGCCAAATTTTGCTATCCTTGCTCGTTGATCATTGAAAAGCTGCTTTATATAAGTTCTCCAGATCTCCAGCTCATTGTCGATGTCCAAAATTATTGAATTTTGTTCGTTTCGTAAAATACCTGAGTCTCTTTTTTCTTTCCTTTATCTTTTTGTGCATGTTAAAGCTATCGTATTTGCGTTCCAGATCCTCTATTTCTCTGTCCCTTTCCTTCATCCGCTTCGCGGATCTTGTTACGAATAGTGTTTTTAATGGACTTGTATTCTGCTTCATTATTGTTTTTATGTTTTCTTCTCTCTTCCATTAGTGATAAAATTGCTTGTGTCATCCACTTCTGTTTTGGTAACCCCCTGTCCTTCCCAACTTTTTCTTTTTGTGTTGTTACCACGGTATCCTTAATTTTTTCCCATTTTGTGTTCTGATCCCAGGTAGCGAATTCTTCTTCATGTAGCCTATGAAATTTTTAATTTAAAAAGTTGGTGGTAGTGTTTCTTATAGTTGGCTCGTTTAACCTATAACCTATAAGTTCTGTTTTGCTATTTTGTTTGACTCTTTTTAGTTTTATGTTCATGTCCATAACTATAGGGTTGTGGTCTGATCCGTCATCTGCGCCTGGGTAAGTTTTTACTGTTTCTATTCCATTTCTAAATCTTTTATTCACCAAACTGTAGTCTATCTGGTTTCTAATTAAATGGTCTTTGTTGTCGCCGGGTGCTTTCCAGGTGTACAGTCTTCTTTTTGGAAGTTTGAATAATGTGTTGCTTACCATCAAGTCTTCTTCTACGCAGAACTGCAACATACGATCTCTCCGCTCATTTCTCTCTTCTAAACCGTATGCACCAACATAGTCTTCGTATCTGCCTTCTCCAATTTTTGCATTGTAGTCGCCCATAATAACAGTTATGTAACGTTCTTTTCTTAATTCTAGAATATCTTGGAGTTGTTCATAAAATTCTTCAATTTCTTGGTCACTTTTATCTGCTGTAGGGGCTTATACTTGTATAAGGTTCAATTTACCAATGTTCGTTTCGATCTGAATCATAATGATCCTATCGGAGTACGGTCATAAATTGATCACCGATTTCGCCATGTCCTTCGTTACCATGATTCCGAGTCTATTATAGTGGTGATTTCCATCGTTGTCCGAGTAGTGCAGTATTTCTCTGTCGCTGGCATCGTTCCCTGGATATTGAATGTTACTGAGCCCTCTCTCCAGCGACACGTTGGAAGTCTCCGAGAGGGTTTAGCCAGACGGCAGTCATTAATCACTGCATAGTCTTGGTTAGAGATCATTGTTAAAATATGAATAATATAACGTTATTTGAAATCAGCGTGACATCATTTCAAAAAGGTGATACGCCAACTATAAGTACACTTCTTCTGAATTTTACCTGTCTTGGTGACGTTTCGCCAAATAAGTTTTTTGATGATTGATTTATATAATTTAATAGTCCACACCACAGTAGTGTTATGATACAATGACACAAGGTCCATTTCCAGACTGCAAAAATGTTACGTGCCTTAAAATAAATCCAAAAAATAACCTTTTCTCCCAATTTTTGTAATTTGTCACATAACAATTTTAAATTTTAAAATAGTAATTTTGAAACATCATGAAATTTAATTTATAATCAGACGGACAATATTAGCTTCCAGCTACAATTGCCCCACAATTTATTTGTGTTTCGCTAACCAGGTTATCATCACTAGATGATACAGACACGGTAATTTTGTGGAAAACTAGTATTGTATTAATCTCTCACCATTATCTAAATATATTACATGTAATAATTTGGTCTAAATAAATCTTTGATCCAAATAAATCTGGTTTTGATTGTTCTGTGCTTAGTAGTATAATAATTAGTATATAGTATAATAATTAATTAACTAGCCTTTGAAGGACATTTATATTCCAATGAGGGATGTTTAGTGCAATAGCCAATAAAATCATGCTTCGTCAGCAGATAATCGGCTATTTAAGGTTGTCTACTTTCCCGTGGCTGAAAACATCCGTTGATGGCTACCCTTTGGTTTGCCTTATCTAACGGTTTATCCTAGGACTTTTGTTTTTTATTTGAGTGGGTCTGTTTCCTATCTAATCTGTTTGACCACCCTCTTAACGTTCCCGTTTTCAGATTCATAGCGAGTCCGCACAAGTGTGACTTCATCCGATCTTCGGTCAACATCATCGATTATATAGCAACGGCCAGTTTTTACATCGACCTGATGCTCCGCAAGTTCGCGTCGCATCTCGAAAACGCAGATATTATGGAGTTCTTCTCGATAATCCGTATAATGAGGCTGTTCAAACTCACTAGGCACTCGTCCGGACTGAAAATCCTCATTCAGACGTTCAGGGCGTCGGCAAAAGAACTCACCCTGCTCGTGTTTTTTTTGGTGCTCGGTATAGTTATCTTCGCGAGTTTGGTGTACTACGCGGAACGAATTCAAACGAACCCGGACAACGATTTCAAAAGTATACCATTGGGGTTGTGGTGGGCGCTGGTGACAATGACCACGGTAGGGTACGGGGACATGGTGCCGAAGACTTATATAGGGATGTTCGTAGGTGCGCTGTGCGCACTGGCTGGTGTGTTGACGATTGCGCTACCCGTTCCCGTAATAGTGTCCAATTTTGCCATGTATTATAGTCACACTCAGGTAAGACAAGCTCCTAGCTGAGATGAAAATGTAATTAATTTATTTTGTTTTCTAAAAAATATTAATAGTAAAAGAAGTGTCATTCGGTATACAAAAAATCGCATATTTTGTAAATTTCTAAAAGAAAATTGTTGATTGAAAAGAAAAGCTTACGATAAATATTTCTGTACAAAAGTGGAACCTAGCTCGGATCAGAACAAAAAATATAACAAAGTAGGCTAAAGGTGGAGAATGTTACTTCAGTGCAGCAGACGTTTAACTTTTAAGGTCCATAAATTTTACTAACGCTCCATCTGCAAGGCGAATAAATTCTGGAACAGAAACTTTAACAGGATTTTGGGTTGATTTTGTCGGCTTATACTGGGCGTTTGCTAAGAACATTCCCCTATTTTCCCTAGTAAATAGAATAATAAAAAAATAACATTAGTTTAGTTAGTAATCAGGTTTCCGAAAATGCCTCCTTCGATACAGGAATCAAAAAATTGTTTTTTTATTGTTTCGGAATCGAAATTTAGATCGTAAATACCTTTGATTGTACAGGGGCATCGCTCATTTCGGTCGCCCCTTTTTTTGCCCCCGAACTGTTTTTAAATAACCAAAATAATATTTTTCTAAACAAGAAAGGTTTTTTTTTTTTAATCTGGTTTTGAAGTTTTGGTAAGCTAAGGATTATTAAATTATATCGATAATCTTCGACAAGAACGAAATATCTACAAAGTCAAAACATTCTAAATTATTTTGAACTTGAAATTTGTCCGCAGTATGCAACAATCATTTTTTTCGTTTATAGCTTGTTATTTTATACCAGAGAGTAATTAAATGTAATCATGACATTTAAAGGTTAAATCGTAAAGTATATGAATGCAATGTAATGACAGCGGTGTTACTAGTAGTTAATTAGAAAAATATATGTAATAATAATTATATATGATTATAATTTTAGATGTGGACAGATTGAAATATTAATTATTGTAAGATCAAATAAATACAAACTTATCAAAGAATAATATGAAATATGAAAATGGATAAATTGTAATGAATATTATTATAATAAAGTTTAGAATCATCAAGTTCTGGGTAGTCGGTTGAGCTATATATGGAATATATGAAATTGCTTTTTTTTTAAGTAAGGCTTCGTCATTTTTTTCCCAAAAAGACGATATCTAAGACTACTTGGATTTTCTTCAGAGGTTTGTTTACCCATGACTATAGCACACATGTAATCTTTAAAAACATCAGCATTCATTTCTTTATGATAGTAAGCCACCACCGACACCCATTTTTGTTTCCATTGTGAGTAACTATTAATCTTTGACCTTTTCCCAGGGATGCTTTTATTCCACTGGACAATTCTTCCATGGAAGTTTTTCTTGCGGTTTTTAAATTTTTATCTTGCCATGTTTTACCACGGTATATCCTTCATTACCCAAGTTTCGTCCAGATAATAGATATTCCGGTTTTCTCTTTGTCTTCCTCTATTAAAAGTGATTTTCTGTTTTATGTTTTTTCTTGGCGAAAATTCATTTCCATCAAAATTTTCTGCGATTTCAGACATAATTTTGTACAAAGTAGATATATTTTTTTAAGTAAAACTACATTCGTTCAATTATGACGAAGTGCTTTGAATTACATTGGGAATAATAATTTCCTCATTTGTAGAAAGTGCAGTTTTGCTAATAAATTTCTAGCCAACAAATTCAGAAATGCTAGAAATGTTCAAAAACGAACTTTGCCTGTAACTGCCACTCTTGAAATTAATTTTAACTTCAATATCACTAAGGCACAGATATAGGGAAACCTCAGAAAAATCAACTTTCCTTCTTCTTTCTGAAATGAAAGTGCATACAGAGTCGTAGAAGCAACAACACTGCACTCTTCAAATCAGGTGTTGTTTGTTTATTGAGATATCTATTTTGCTTTTCAAGCTGAATGTTTACCTTCTTTTCTTTTAGACTCTATTTAAATTTATTCTTCCAAACATAGGCCCGGGCGAAACTACCAAAGAAACGGCGACGGGTCTTGCCAGTTGAACCAACGCGAGGTCCCAGGATACCAGGTCCTACAAATCCGGGGGCTGCCTCGGGAGTACCGATCACAGCTCCGGCGGCAGCCCAGAACCGAAGAACGAATGCGATCAAAACAAACCATCCGAAGGACAGTTTGCTTGGCGGTCCAGTTCCAAAACTTGGTGAGCAGAACTTACGAAATGTTGTAAAATCAAGCTGTAGCAATTTTTTTTTAAGATATTGTTAAATTTTTCAGTGTTTATCATTTTCTCAAACTGCAATTCTCTTAGTAATGTAAATCTTTCTTGGAAGTTTTTTCCGGTGTCGTGAGGTAGATTAAGGACGCTTTCAGCAATAAATAGGTATAGGAATTTCCGGGAAGATAATGGAAATGTCTTTTAAACAATAAAATTAAAAACCCTGTCCTTCAGGTTTATTATTTTGTCTGTAAATGTGTCTTGTTCTTTGTCTGACTGTGACGTGTTCGTTATTCTTTGTATTACATTATATTGTTGCACCATTAAAATTAAGGGACAAACTTTTCTTGTTCCGGTTCAAACCACAATACAAACGCTAACAAGTCTCTATTAAGAATCAATTTCAAATCATTTCAAAATCAGTTGACCTTAAATTAATAGCATCGTTAATTAAAGTAGCAATTTCTTTGACGTTAAAACGCAAATCGTTTTTTCACATTAACTCGTCGAAACGAATTGATAATTTCATCCCAAGAGGGTGGAAATTTATTACTTTTGCCGGGATTCCGGTCCTGAATCGCGGTGGCGTTTTGAAACGAAAATATAATTATTCACTCAGTTAACACCAGTCATCAAAAAGCAGTAATAAAATCCGCGTCCATTTTTTGACGACCATAATATTGCCATATTTACGGCTATTAAAATTTTATAACCACCAAATCGTCAGATGAATCCATCCAAATTGAATTTCCGTATAAATCAATGGAAATGGCTCATAAAATGAGACGTTTGACCTTTTACGAAAACAGTACGTGTGCAAGCCCGAGACGTATTTCAAATCGATATATATTATATAATTCGTAAATTGGGATCCAGAGACGCGCATGCAATAATAATTTGAATAATAATAATAATGATAAAAACAACAAGTACTCTTTCATTCGGTTCAATCGCTCTAATTGGTGTATAGTAGTAACAAAAATCCACATACGACACATTTGAGTACGAAATTAGGTTATAAGTAATACATTGTAAAGTTAAGTTTTGGATCGTAATGGTTCATAAGCCTCGGAGAGTGCGTTAAAAATTATTGCATTTATCACAAATATAGTTTGAGGATTTCATCATTATAAATATATTTTCATGAAAATGTTCTTTTGCAACTAATCGGGGCTATCAAATCAACACCATCTTGTTTGTAGGTAAGATTACATCTCAAGTTTTGACCTCACAAAACTGAAAAAAAGATTCTTTAGAGCAATGACAGTTTCGCATTAAATCCAAAATCCTACATTTACCACCTAAAAAGCCGAGCAACCTGTTATCACCTACTGTTATAGTTGTTGAACCGCATTTCTGAGTCAGATGTGCCAAATTGTCAGGTTTCAGGTCAAGTTTTGACCTCACAAAACTGAAAAAAGATTCTTTAGAGCAATGACAGTTTCGCATTAAATCCAAAATCCTACATTTACCACCTAAAAAGCCGAGCAACCTGTTATCACCTACTGTTATAGTTGTTGAACTGCATTTCTGAGTCAGATGTGCCAAATTGTCAGGTTTACATTTTTTAGTATAACACACATATTTATACTTAGTAATATGTGAATCTAGGACTTTCTTGGTTCAACACAACAATTCAGAGAGTCTGATTTTGAATATGTAATCTTGTAAGCTACAAACACTACAGGATGTGGATGTAGGTAATGAATACAAGAAACAGCGGATGGGGCACGTTTGATCCCTGTGGAACACCAGCGTAATTAATTTGTACACGACGTATTGCTCACTATTACATAGATATGACTTAAATACATCTTAAGAATACAATAGAAGAAGATAAATTAATAGAACAATTACAAGATCATAACAAAATGTATGATATGGATATAAATGGTTCGGTAGGAATATTTTGATATATTTATTTTTTTATTGACGCTCTTAGAAACAATTATCTTAATCCATGCCTGATGAACCACTCCTTAAATGTATAGAAACAGTTATCTTGCTATTTTGTGCGAATAATAATTTAATCTTCTGTCGAAAAACAGGATTTATTTGACAAAATTGCAGATCCAATTTTACTCTAAAAAAGATTATTCCGCAGGTTCTGATGGATAGAAACACGTTTTCCACAATAAAAATACAATCTATTTGACGTTGATGTGATTTAAATTCCTTTCGCGCTTACCTTATCGCAAAAATTCGACAATGGCGTTCGTACAACAATATCGTATTAAGTTTTTTGACGCGATACGTCCCACCGTCCCTGCATTGGCAGAAGCCTATTAATCATCTAATGAACTTACCTTTCAGATGACGAACGCAGGCACTCGAATTTGCGATCAAATGGCACAAAATCAAACACGGAGATGAATAGAACAAATGAATAGTATGAGGGGTATAGCGTTTGTTTTTTTTTTAATTCTGTAATCTAGATGTGGAATGACTAATGTTTTCAGTTGTCGTGTTGTCCCGTCGTTTCTCTTTCGAAAATGATTAATTATACCTTATTTGTTTGGGTACGTTTCGGTAACGGGTGGATGCAAACGCGATAATCAATGCAGAATAATGGCAACCAGCAAATTCATATACATTTGGAACGGAATAAAAACTGAAACTTAGTTTTGAGTGGCATGCAAGCGTGTATATCTCACTTCTTCTTCATAAGGTACCAGATAACAATTTTGACACTACTCCATTACCATAAAATCAATGTTCTTTAACTATATCCATCTTGTCTGGACCTCTTCCGCAAACAATTTTGACTTCAATAATAATTTTCATTCATTATAAAACCTCTTCATTATGAAGTGAACATTCGTAGATATTCCCAACATAAAAGGATAACCTTACATTTTAAATGCATTCAAAATTCGAGTGTTGAGTTGCGTCCGCATTTTTAAAAACATTTTGTAGACTTTTTATAAAAGTTCTGGATTCCTACTGCGTCGGTTTTTGTTGACTCGAACTAGCTAACCTTTCGCCAATCATCCTGTTGGCTTCTTCACAGGTTGACTGAAACTGTCTCGCATTTTATTCTGTACCTGCTTTTATATTGTTTGAGAGGGGCGGAGCTAAATGAGGGGCATTAACAACGTCTCGGATGACTGATTCCCATATTGGCGACAGGTAGAGACCTGAGTCGCGGTTCAGATTATTAGGTTGCTTATAGATTTCTATTGACTTTCGCAATTTTCGTTTTATGTCCGGTTTCGTGATAGTGTTCGGCAATTGCTGATGAGTTTGTTTGTCGTAGTCTTAAGGCTATTTCATGTTCTTTGAGCCTAGATGATATTTTTCGTTCGGTCTCTCCAATTACCGCACATGCATGGAATGCTATAAATTCCTGGCATCTCAAATGGAATTTTGTCCTTGACTGTTCGAATATATTGACAGATTTTCTGATATGTGTTCAGTGATGTTTTTAATATTATATCTTAACCTGTCACCAATATGGGAATCAGTCATCCGGGCCGGTGTTTATGAGAGTAAAATACGAGTCAGTTTCAGTCAAGCTCTGAAGAAGCCAACAGGATGATTGGCGAAACGTTAGTTAGTTCGAGTCAACAAAAATCGACGCAGGAGGAATTCAAAAGTTTTATAAAAAGTATGTTTGAAAAAGCATTTCTTTGAAAAATTAATAATCGTTTCCACTCCTCCGGATCTGGATTGACACCTTATCTAAGCGAACAACGCAAATATCTGAATTTCCGTATAAATCAATGGAAATGGCTCATAAAATGAGACGTTTGACCTTTTACGAAAACAGTACGTGTGCAAGCCCGAGACGTATTTCAAATCGATATATATTATATAATTCGTAAATTGGGATCCAGAGACGCGCATGCAATAATAATTTGAATAATAATAATAATGATAAAAACAACAAGTACTCTTTCATTCGGTTCAATCGCTCTAATTGGTGTATAGTAGTAACAAAAATCCACATACGACACATTTGAGTACGAAATTAGGTTATAAGTAATACATTGTAAAGTTAAGTTTTGGATCGTAATGGTTCATAAGCCTCGGAGAGTGCGTTAAAAATTATTGCATTTATCACAAATATAGTTTGAGGATTTCATCATTATAAATATATTTTCATGAAAATGTTCTTTTGCAACTAATCGGGGCTATCAAATCAACACCATCTTGTTTGTAGGTAAGATTACATCTCAAGTTTTGACCTCACAAAACTGAAAAAAAGATTCTTTAGAGCAATGACAGTTTCGCATTAAATCCAAAATCCTACATTTACCACCTAAAAAGCCGAGCAACCTGTTATCACCTACTGTTATAGTTGTTGAACCGCATTTCTGAGTCAGATGTGCCAAATTGTCAGGTTTCAGGTCAAGTTTTGACCTCACAAAACTGAAAAAAGATTCTTTAGAGCAATGACAGTTTCGCATTAAATCCAAAATCCTACATTTACCACCTAAAAAGCCGAGCAACCTGTTATCACCTACTGTTATAGTTGTTGAACTGCATTTCTGAGTCAGATGTGCCAAATTGTCAGGTTTACATTTTTTAGTATAACACACATATTTATACTTAGTAATATGTGAATCTAGGACTTTCTTGGTTCAACACAACAATTCAGAGAGTCTGATTTTGAATATGTAATCTTGTAAGCTACAAACACTACAGGATGTGGATGTAGGTAATGAATACAAGAAACAGCGGATGGGGCACGTTTGATCCCTGTGGAACACCAGCGTAATTAATTTGTACACGACGTATTGCTCACTATTACATAGATATGACTTAAATACATCTTAAGAATACAATAGAAGAAGATAAATTAATAGAACAATTACAAGATCATAACAAAATGTATGATATGGATATAAATGGTTCGGTAGGAATATTTTGATATATTTATTTTTTTATTGACGCTCTTAGAAACAATTATCTTAATCCATGCCTGATGAACCACTCCTTAAATGTATAGAAACAGTTATCTTGCTATTTTGTGCGAATAATAATTTAATCTTCTGTCGAAAAACAGGATTTATTTGACAAAATTACAGATCCAATTTTACTCTAAAAAAGATTATTCCGCAGGTTCTGATGGATAGAAACACGTTTTCCACAATAAAAATACAATCTATTTGACGTTGATGTGATTTAAATTCCTTTCGCGCTTACCTTATCGCAAAAATTCGACAATGGCGTTCGTACAACAATATCGTATTAAGTTTTTTGACGCGATACGTCCCACCGTCCCTGCATTGGCAGAAGCCTATTAATCATCTAATGAACTTACCTTTCAGATGACGAACGCAGGCACTCGAATTTGCGATCAAATGGCACAAAATCAAACACGGAGATGAATAGAACAAATGAATAGTATGAGGGGTATAGCGTTTGTTTTTTTTTTAATTCTGTAATCTAGATGTGGAATGACTAATGTTTTCAGTTGTCGTGTTGTCCCGTCGTTTCTCTTTCGAAAATGATTAATTATACCTTATTTGTTTGGGTACGTTTCGGTAACGGGTGGATGCAAACGCGATAATCAATGCAGAATAATGGCAACCAGCAAATTCATATACATTTGGAACGGAATAAAAACTGAAACTTAGTTTTGAGTGGCATGCAAGCGTGTATATCTCACTTCTTCTTCATAAGGTACCAGATAACAATTTTGACACTACTCCATTACCATAAAATCAATGTTCTTTAACTATATCCATCTTGTCTGGACCTCTTCCGCAAACAATTTTGACTTCAATAATAATTTTCATTCATTATAAAACCTCTTCATTATGAAGTGAACATTCGTAGATATTCCCAACATAAAAGGATAACCTTACATTTTAAATGCATTCAAAATTCGAGTGTTGAGTTGCGTCCGCATTTTTAAAAACATTTTGTAGACTTTTTATAAAAGTTCTGGATTCCTACTGCGTCGGTTTTTGTTGACTCGAACTAGCTAACCTTTCGCCAATCATCCTGTTGGCTTCTTCACAGGTTGACTGAAACTGTCTCGCATTTTATTCTGTACCTGCTTTTATATTGTTTGAGAGGGGCGGAGCTAAATGAGGGGCATTAACAACGTCTCGGATGACTGATTCCCATATTGGCGACAGGTAGAGACCTGAGTCGCGGTTCAGATTATTAGGTTGCTTATAGATTTCTATTGACTTTCGCAATTTTCGTTTTATGTCCGGTTTCGTGATAGTGTTCGGCAATTGCTGATGAGTTTGTTTGTCGTAGTCTTAAGGCTATTTCATGTTCTTTGAGCCTAGATGATATTTTTCGTTCGGTCTCTCCAATTACCGCACATGCATGGAATGCTATAAATTCCTGGCATCTCAAATGGAATTTTGTCCTTGACTGTTCGAATATATTGACAGATTTTCTGATATGTGTTCAGTGATGTTTTTAATATTATATCTTAACCTGTCACCAATATGGGAATCAGTCATCCGGGCCGGTGTTTATGAGAGTAAAATACGAGTCAGTTTCAGTCAAGCTCTGAAGAAGCCAACAGGATGATTGGCGAAACGTTAGTTAGTTCGAGTCAACAAAAATCGACGCAGGAGGAATTCAAAAGTTTTATAAAAAGTATGTTTGAAAAAGCATTTCTTTGAAAAATTAATAATCGTTTCCACTCCTCCGGATCTGGATTGACACCTTATCTAAGCGAACAACGCAAATATCTGAGTTTTTGAGATTTTTAATAAAGCTGGCTCATGTATCTTATGTCTAAATTCTGCTTGTTGTCTTAGTTAACCGGCTCTATATCCAAAAATTATTCTAACAGTGTCTCATAATTTTAAAGTTTAGACATTTTCCATGAACTCCGTTCCAATTTACTTTGTAAGCAATATACCACGCATACCATACATATTTAACTCTGAAAATTTGAGAAATCTGTCATACCAAAGAGTACTTAATTATTAGGTTAAATTCAATGTTAGACCAATATCTCAGGATCTTGAAAATATTGTTGTAAATCCATAAAATTTTCAGTTACACCGTTCTAAAACAGAATGGACAATATGATTCAAATAAAAAGATATTTATTTTGCATTAAAATACATACTACCTACAACTGCCTGCTGTCTCAAGTATTACACTTCATTTTCATTAAATTCTCAACTGTTTTTAACGCCACTGGAATATAAAATAAACTTTACCAGCTCCCTGATATCGCAAATGTTACTTTTAATTTGCATGAAGTGTTTGACTATTTCGAAGTGGAATTTAAAATAAACATGAGGTTATTTCGGCATGTCTCTTTTATTCCACTTTAATATTTTAACTTAACTTAATTTGTATAAAAACAGGTATATTTATTGTATGAATTAAAGAAAAACAAAATGCCCCTATTGGCTCACTTTAAGACCAGAACTTAACCTAAATTAAGTTGCTAAATAGAGTTCTAAATGAGTACTTACGATTTGCTCAAGTGCATCCAACCTTCTGCACAGTACGTTCTTTATGCAGCAATAAAAATGTTGATTACAGCTCTGTATACACAACGAGTTACCGGATGTACCCACAAAGTTTCCTCACATTCGCATGATGTCTTGTGTTTATATCTGACGTTTTCTTTCCATTGTTTGAAAGGGTCAGGGTAGCACGTCCCCTAATTTCGGTGCTAGAGAATAGTACTATATAATGATTACTTATAGTTTACGTTTTTAGTGTATTTTCCCCTCTTTTTAACTCTCTTCAACTATGTCGTTAGAGTGGTTAATTGTTCGTGGGACTCTGCGAGGTTTACAAGGTTGTGTTTGTACTGCATGATAATTTGATTTGAAATTGTGTAGTTGAGTTAAAGGCATTGGATTATCGCACCAACGATTAGAGCTGAGTCAAATAATTATGTTGTCGAAATTCAAGAAGGGCATAATACTTGCTTTATTGGATTTTAAAATAATAGGTTAAGTTTATAAAGATTTTTTTTCTATAATTTTCTCGGAACACTAAGTAAATGGTGTATCATTTGCTGAGGTGTATTATTATTTGAGAAAAAACTTGGAAAAGAGGAACAACAGTTTTCGGGCGGTTGACAATGGAAACATAATATAGGACTTGCACATGCTATCCGTGGTTGTAAATAAACTCCTAGTAGAAGATCATTTCTTTGATTTAACTTCTTGAAAAAAAATCTAGAAGCAATTTTTGCTGTTTAGTATAAATACTAATACTAATATATAACTAATTTTTATTAATAAATAAATTTCTGATTGTAATTTATTTAATTTCATATACTGGTATGTGCTATTTATAAGAGCAAATAGCTGTTAACATCACTTTATTAATTTGTATTCGAAATTCCTCCACTTTTTGGAATACGTTTCAAAAATTGCCAATTATCTAAACTAAAATTATTCAAACATACGAATTGCGAATCGAAGTCAAGATATTTCGCTTGTACCTATGATTTGATATAAACGAACTTATCAATGTTTTCAGGATTGATAGGGGTGACTTCATCCCTAAACCCAAACGGGGTTGGTCTCGAATCAAATCAAGCGTTTTTGATGGCCAAGCCAAAATTTGACAGCAGCCCGTCTCCGACTCAACCGACCCAAGTCAAACTGTCACCGGACTCGGGACAGTGCTACACTACGCTGAAGGCACCAAACTGAACAAATTTCGAGACCAATTGCTGGATGTGTAATTTAGGCTGTCTACACAATATCGGTCTTCGATTGTTAAACTTGAAAATGTTTACTAACATACCTTTATTTTAAAGGATATTTAAAAATTACTCTCTTTTTTAAGTTATTGCTCGAAAGGTGTAAATTGCAAAATTAGTCACGAATTATAAGGGATGTAGTTTCAAGGAAACGTTGCTCTTCTCTGATCATACCAAATCTCTCCTTGAGTTATTGTTTCTATCATTGCTATCTCAATATTAATTAGAGTAGCACGATATTTGACATCAGTCCGAACAATTTTCTTAAAAATTTCAGTGCATTGATAGTTCTAAAAACTTAGCATCGACATTTATCAATTTGAGTGATTTTTTTTGAACTCTAATCACAGGCGATGTTTGATATAAACAAGTTCACAAATACTCATATGAATTTTTAATAATGTATTGCACTCTTGTATTCTTTTTGATATTCATATGTCTGCCTGCCTGAAGAATTTATCAACGTTTGTTGACAGTTATAACTCTATCATCAATATAACGCAACTGGTAATATCCAACATTTGTGGACCTTAAACTGATTTGGTTGTTTATTTGTACTTAACTGAGAGCTATATAAGTTCCATTTTTCTTCGCTCGTTATGGAAAATTATGTAAGAGCAATAAATACACCTAGGTTAATCTTGTTCCAATCTATAAATCTGCTGGAATTTCCCCGTCACTTACATGAAAGAAATGTTGTTATTTGTAGAATATAATTTTGGTTTAAAAATGATTTAAATCTTATCAAATGGAAACCAACCAAGAGTTCATGACTATTAAACCCGATAACTCAAACACTTGGGACCATATACCTGTACGAAACACGAACTAATTTCCTAGTTTAACAATCTATGACCTGTGAATGCAAGCGGATTAAACGAATCGCCATATCTAAAGTGCTTCGCACATTTTGCTGGAGCACTAACACTGACCAAGTTGACCAAAGATGTTAAAATCACAGGGTAGCTATAAGTGCAATCCGAGGTTGAATCCAAATGAAGATATAAATAAATAAGATATAATTCAGATTTTTCCAAGTTGCAACTGAGGAGTGAAGTGGTAAATGTTTTAGTTCTTCGTAGATCTGAAATAGTTGTTAGAGCTTTCTGTACAGAAAATTGTTAAGGTTTAACCGGTAATATATTTTGTATCGTTTTTGTTACGGCTGTTATTACAGACAACTGTTATGAAACCAGTTTGTTAACTCTGGTATTTAGGTTAAGCTCATCAGAATGTAGACCCTATGCAAAACGGATCAGTATCGATATTATTAGAATCATGCAAATCTATTCGGAAGCGGCTTGTATACAAATTATTGTAAATACGCCCTTAGGCAATCGGTGTTACAAACATTTCGCTTATCACTCAAATGTAAATATATTATAAAATATTTATATTTATTGTCGCTAAATTTTCTTCCATAAGTTTTGTATTATTATCTTACGCATACACTAGAGAATATTTGAATCTGTTGATTCAGCAAATTTATGAACCAACTTTTATAAAATAAAAAGTTATTAGAAGTTTGAATTATTGTAAGTAAAAAGCATTGAATAAAAACGGAAATGCTTCGCAATAATAAACCCACTTTCAAATGTTATTTAAATTCATTCAACATTCAAATCGCTCAACCTAAGAAATTCAGTGTGTTTTTAAAGCAATAAAGTTTAATAATTTTTCCAGTATTTATTCATATGTAATAATGTTTACACATTTATATATTTTTGGAATATTAACGGTCAATGTTAAAGAGAATACAGATTTTTAAGATTATATCGTAATTTCAGAATCATGCATAACATATCCATTTTCATATTTCAATTGTGACTAAAATTAAAATTGCAATGGCAATGACTTTTCAGTTTTCTACAGTATCCAATTTTGAAATTTACGAGCAAAAATGAATCCCGACTATAGTTTTTAAAGACTACCCATTTTGAGGTTGCAAAAATGTAGGTTGTCAAGTGTGGGACATTTCGAAACAAAGTAAAATTTAAATGTATTCAGCATGGATTTTTGGGAACAGTTTGTACGATTGAGCGATGTTAACTAAAGGTTTGAGTTATGAGCATATAGGAAATAAAATTGCCTTTTATAAGCAGGTTTGGACCAACGTCTTGTACTGTATCGTTACCAATGCCATAAGCATGTGATATTATTTGAAAGTTTTCTAAAAACTAAGGACTCGTAATTAGTGTTAGAAAAACTTCGAATGCTTGACAGTCGAAATAAATTAAAGTTGCGAACGGATTTTGCGATTCTGTATATTTGATAAGCGACATATCTTGGAAACATATTTATTAAACTTAAATAATTGATGAATTCGATTCGTTTTTAGTGCAAGCTTTAAAGTAATCTTCTTATGATAGAGGAAAATCCAGATTGTGTATTGTAATTGTTTACGTAAAATTTCCTCTTTAATATAAAAATAAGTAATAAGATATTTTTATGTATACCGTTCTCCTGTTGATATTAGAGTTTTCTTAAAGATTACTGAAATACAGTATATAACCGATTTGCGTTGTTTTTGTTCCACCAAAAAAATAAAACCAGTTAATTAAGACGTGTTTATCTATACCTAGTACATCGGCAATTGAATATTTGTACATATTTTGGTTTAGCTTAACCAATAATAACATATTGCACAAAGACTCAATTTAACTTAAAACCTATTTTATATATCGTACTAGAAATAAGCCAACCAACGAGGTCAATATTATTTAAAACTTTTGATTTCTTTTGTTTGCCTTCTTGGAAATTTCTATTGTGGACGTTGCAAGTGGTCAAAGGTGCAGTAGCCCATTAGCCCACTTCAACAATTTGTGAGATTATTACTTATTTGTGAAAAAGCATCGTAACGATACCCAAAATTACAAAGTTAAAACCGAACCATCAGATTTCTTAAAGCGTGCTTACTTAATGGTATTTTCAACCGTTCTGTCTTTGGTTGATTTTTATACTCAAGACTTAACTAATTAAAGTTAGATTAATAACTCAAACTAACAATGCCATCAATATTTATCAATAGTGAAAATAACACGGCATAAACTTAAACAAGCAGGCCATGGCTTGGATAAAATCGCCGTAGAATTATTTCTCCGATATTTGCTTTGTCAATTACTTTTGTAACAATTACTTACTTGTAACAGAAGTTAATTTCTCAAGGCAGTATTCTCCAGACAACGGCAAAACAATTGCTTTTAATTACGATCAATTGGTCTCAATTACTCTATTCGAAATACTAGATAATATTTTGAAGAATAACTTTCAATTAGACATCGTCGCTGAAGCATTCTAAATAACATTCGTTGAACGGAAACCTATAAAACTGAATAACTAACCAAATAAATTATAAACGCCGAACTGAGCTAGTTGCACAATTCTATATACACAAGCATTGTTGTTTCTAATATAATCCGGAAGGTAAGTCCGTAACTTTTTCGCCCGATTTTCCGCTTATAGCTAAATAGTCTTTATTTCTCAAGAAACTATCGCAACGCAGTTGTCCGGAGTACAATCCTGCATTCGCGTGTCCCCTCTTTACCAGAAAACTCGTGCTAGTCACCCGCCTTTCTTGCACTCTTGGAAAATAGTGCGACGAGTTGTTACTCTCCCCCAGTGGAAGGGGGAGAAATATTTTTTTATCTTCCGAATATGAACTAAACCTCGATCTGCTTCCTCTCTTGACGTAAATATTCGAGGAAGTTTTTTGAGACGTATCTGTGACGTCACTTTTCGTTCGTAACTGATGCAAGGCGTCGCACTTCTGATCAGTGACCACGATATCTACCATTGTATTTAGACCAACGTCGATCCTGTCCAAACTTTTACATTGGAACCGCTGATCTGCTTTTTCCGCGGTGTCTTTCAGTACTTCTTTTCGCGTTCCGATATTTATAGAGGTGCTGTAATAATGGGAATTGCTGGGGCAAATTTCTAACTGTTTCAACGACTCGGCCCTCCTCATACTCGACCTGACATTGCCCTCTTTTTTATGCCTCCTGCAGTGTTGTTTGGATTTCGAGTTAACCATGTTGCAAGTTCCCTGAGGTTTTGCCTTCGCCACCTGACATTTAGAAGCACTTAGCAAGGAATCGGATCCTTCTTCGCTGGTGTACGGAGTGTCGTTTTCAAAAAATAATTGCTTGGGACAGTAATAGTAATCCTCTGACGGTACGAAAAGATGAACGAGACTTTTCGCCTTTCTGGGCGGTTGCGGGTGCAAATTCTGAGGTATGATCTCAGTGTCGCTGGAAAGCGTGTAATCGTCCGCGTCATAATGGCTATGCAACTTGCTTGCGACTTGAGCCTCTTCAATTATCTGATTGTTTTTGTTGATTTGGGCTTGCATCTTCGCATACTCCTCCGTTTCCGCGTCGTTTATTATATTCCTGAGTTCCTCTATGACTTCATCAATGGTCGTTTCTTCTTCATCGTCCTGCTTATGATCCATAGCGTTTTTGTTTGATGCCGGAATCTTAAAAGCTTCATAAACGGAATCCCTTTGAATATCGTCGTCGGGACTGAGACTTCTTTCTGACGAGGAGATTCCTTCATCCTCGTTTGGTGTGCAGATCCCTAAAAAATTGGCGACTTAAGTGTTATTTTCAAAATCGTGTCTCAATAGATACCTTCACGCTTAACGTAGGCGGTGCTCTTGGATACTTGGTCGGATTTCAATGAATGAATCTCTGTCTGCAATTCTCCGCAACGTTCCTTTAAACATTTTTCTAACGATACCAGAATGCCTTTTTCTTCTTGCAAGATCTGCAAAAATTCCATTACCATGGATGATAAAAAACTAAACTAACTCGATCGCAAAGTTGAAATCACAATCAAAACGCTTCAATCAGCAGCAAAATGCAAAAATAGATTTGTTCTAGTAATACAGAAAAAGAAGACATCATTGTATGGACGTTGATCAGGTGTTGCTTCAGTAAACTAAATCAGTAGTAAACTGTTCAATTAACAGCAACTGGAGAGGCGAGCTTGGACTGGCCACAGGGGTGTGTTATGGAGCGTACCCACTTGCTAGAAATGGTACTGAACCATAGTATTGTGGAGCTGCCATCAAACATAACGTCTAATACAGCTACCTTGAATCTGCCCTATGAAGTAAGCTTGCCAGCAGGAAAGAGTTGGTCAGGACAAGACTGACATACTGGAGAAAACATATGGTTCTAAAACCAATGAAGGTGTTGGGATCGATATCTACGGGGAACATTTAAAGATGGAATGTATGCCATTGAACTATGTCCAAGAATGCTTATGGAAAGGAGATCCTCAAATAAGATAACCACACTACACTGTAGAGAAACGAAATAACAAATCTACTAGCATAGAAAGCAACGAAAATGTCACCTATACTTCCACAGCCAATCAACAAGAGAAGTAATCTGCATCTGAATGGGAAAAGAAAGCTTGCCTAAGCTGGATGAGCGCAGGATAAGCGCGGGGGATGAAGATCTAAGCTTTCCAGTGTTGGAAAGTGAGAAAAGATGCGGAAAAGATAAAGCGATGAAAATAATTAGAAAGAACAGGGAATTATTTAAACTTATGGTTCAAAATACAAAATCTTCACATAATAACAATGCTGAGATTTTCCTCTTATTCATATAAATCGAAAGAAAATAGCAGCAATAAGAAAATAATTAAGGGGAAAGTCGGTTAACTTCAAAAATGTAGAGATCTGAATACAGATACACTGATCTGATACTTGATTTTCATTGAGCAATCTACCAAAAAGCCTAACATTGAATGAGTAACAAAATAAAACAAACTACTCACCTTAACTTTCCTTTCCATTAAAGTTATACGTTCTTTGAAACATTCGTTTTCTTTTGTCAACTTGTCCAAGTTAGTTGTAATTGAATCAATATCGATATTGGTCTTCTCCCAGTAATATATCTCCGCCCACACCTGCTCGCTTCCAGTACAATTTTCCATATTCTATTAAAACGTAATATAAGCAGATCTATGAAATAACGAAAAAAGAGCGAGACCTACTTTCTTAATTACTCCCATATCCAGCCCAGCTTGGTCGAGCTCCGCCTGTATGTACAGCCTTTTCTGCTTCGACAGTGCAGTATCCAAAAACGTATTTAGAAACTTCAACCCCGTAGCTATTAATTCCTTATGGCCACCGGCCGACGTCAACATGCCGACCAGAAAACGGAACCTCACGGGTTCACCAAATCGTAGCCTTAAGGTGGACATGGCCTCCGATACAGCAGTGTGACCACCTATTGATGGATCACACGCCTTGATAAGAAGCTGAAATCGGTAGCCATTAATAATATTCAAAAATTATTTTGCAACTAGTTAGATTTGCTTTAATTTTCATTTTACTAAATAAGATTCGAAAATTAAAACGGAATGAAAATATTATTATTTATTTATTGCCAATTTAGGTAGGTTAGTTTTGGCTAGCACAGCGTACCAAAAAAAGGTTAAGATAGTTTAACAAAAAATTCATAACAAAAATCAACCTCCAACCATTAGTCCACTTATACCATACCTGAATGCGTAAAAAAACTATAACAAATTAAGATTGGGTAAGAACATTTTAAAGTGTGTTTTAAAACAATTTTTTTTATCAATATATCAATCTCTAGGAAATGATTATGGGAATTAAACATATTTTATTCAAATTGGATTAATTGGAGATTCCTGCCCTTGGTTAGTTCGGTTCGTATTCGCAGTTTTTGATAAAAAAATAGATGAGTTAACCCGGCAGTCTATAGTCCTGTACGGTATTAACATATCTGGTCAGAGATATCTGGTTCCGAAGAGTTAAAATTTTGACTATGACTGTAACTATGATTCTCAATGTTAGTATTTGTTTTAGAGTCAAGAAATCCGAGACGGTGATTATGAACCTCATTTAGCTCCGCCCCCTTTTTACGATATATAAGGAGGTACAGAGTAAAATGCGAGCCGGTTTTAGTCAAGCGCTGAAGAAGCCAACAGGATGATTGGCGAAAGCAAGTTCGACTCAGCAAAAACCGACGCTGGAGGAATCCAGAAGTATTGTAAAAAGCAAAGCACTATGTTTATAATTTTTCGTACTTCTCAACTTTAAAGTCTTTGAAGCTCAACTTATTTAATTGAAAGAGTATATTTTTAATAGCAACAAAATATTTTAATATAAACAATTAATAAACTCTTTTATAATATTTATTATTTGTTTTGAACACGCATGCATACAGAGTGTTTAAAAAGGACGCGGAATATTTAAGGGGATGATTTCTCAGATCATTTTATGAAGAAAGTTCCCATAAAAGTACGTCCGGAAATTCGTTGCTTCCAAGATGCAGGGTGTTACAGTGTTTTTTTTTTAATTGGCAGATTTGTTTTAAATTTGGCAACGTTGTTTTTATTAATAAGTGGCTGATTTGCCCCTAATTAAATAAAAACTAAACAGAGGCAATATATAAAATTTATTGATAATATTTAGGCCACATATATATAGAGCGACTAAAACTACTATGATCCAAAAAATTTACAAAAACTGTTGGAAGTGAGCCCTTCCCGCTCGGATGCAGGAATCCAAACTTCTCATAAATATCGGAGAGTTTAAATCCGGGGATTGTGTAGGCCATAAGTGAGGTTCACTTTGGCTAGTCCAGCGATTTCCGTATCTTAGTCTCAAAAACTCACGAGTACGTTCTCCAGAAATCCAAGAATTAGGCAGTCCCTCATAATTCAAATTCAAATATTCAACGGGAACTGATGCTGAAAGTGATCTTCAAAAAAACTTTAACACCATGTACCTCGGAAACTTTTTTGATAACATGTTCACCCTCTTAAATATTGCCGCGTTTCGTTTAAACACACTGTATAGAGCGTTTATTTATTCGATACCGTAATAATTAAACTGACTTAACCCAATATCAAGAGTCCGATAGCATTATTTTAAATGTTTTGGCTAAGACGTGACTGCTACGATATTAAACTCACATTAAAATTTTATGCAACGACTCACCTGCAAAGCTATTATCCTAGACTTGTTTACATTGCTCATTATACACACTGCAACGGTAAATAAACCTGCAGACGAGGAAATGAGCTTCCGTATCGATTCGGTGTATCGAGCGCAGCAATTCAATAGGCATTGCAAACAAGAGAATTCGTCCAGAAGAGCTCTCCGATGCAAGGAAGGTGGTATTTTGCCGGTGGTTCCCGTAGAACCTTGGGGACCGTGTACGACTGTACTAGATTGGTTGATTTGAATGGTTCGAAGTAGATCCAAAAGAAGAGTGACACCGTCTAACGGATCTGCCACGAATTCCTGCACAAAACTAAAACCAAAATCTCTCTTAATGTTGTTCTAATTTTGATATTTCTATTCAGGAGCTCAATGGTTTTGAAAAATGACATATGCGCTTATACAAACGTAAAAAACGTCTGCAGACGAAGAATAAAAGACCTTTAAATCGATCAAACTAAACATCGAAAAGGCACTTACGTCTGTTTGAACAAAGGAAACCATTAAAAAGATAAATATACTCACCTAGTTAAACAACCTGCGACGTTTCAAGTGTTGGATTTACATTATCTTAAATCATCAATTACCATTTCATTAACATATCACTTAAACAATTTTTCGCATGTAATAAGTGCGGTTTACATTAATTTTCAACGATATTTGTATTGTGTAATTAGATCGCAAATTTCCATCGCGAAAAATTTGGGGATCACCTTTTAATAACCTGTCCGGTAAAATTATCGATCCACGGAATCTCATTTTTCTAATAAAAATTGTGTATTTTTATTTTTCTTCGCCATTGTTTGATTAAAAATTTAAATGCTTTATATTTTTTGAAGTATGTGTTTTCCAATTTTATTATGGTAATTTTCTGTCATATTTTGCATAGGGTGTATCAAAATAAGATGCTCATCCTTAACAGTGTGAATATCCTAAACGTTTGAGCTACATGCTGTTAAAATATGCCATATATATTAATTGAAATTTCGAATATACGCCTTATCAACCATTTTTTCATCTAGTTAGATAAAATATGCTTTAATTCATTTTTTTCATTCATTTCTTAAAATTGCACTGGGCTGGATTTAAAGTTGAAAATCTAATTGATATCCCGAATTAATTAAAACTTCATGTTTGGTGGACAGTGTTTTACTATTAAAACAATTTTTACAATTATATGTTTTCTTTTGTTCTTGGTAATCTTTGATTTTTGGTTTGATATTGTAATACATTTTTACGTATTGGGTGAGAATATTTTCTTAGTAATATATTTATACTTTCATTTAAATGGCTTTTGCCTTATGTGCAATTCTAATAAAACAAAATCATTTGCATTTGAGTAACAATTTCGAATAAACTGTTAAATAATTTTATATTAGTTTTTCTCTTCCTTCTTTACTTAACGCAAATTGTCCACATGACTGTTTTTACTATTGTTGTAATTTTAGGCATATAATAAATGCGGATAAGAATAATGCAAATTCCCATCGAGAAAATTTTGTCAATCACGTTTTTAATACCCTAACCGATAAAATTTACGCAGTCTCTCATTTCTAATTTTAAATCGGATTTTATTTGTTTTGACTATTTTATGTCGGTTAATTTTGATTAAAAATTTGTCCTTCATATGGCAAGCCATTTCAACTTCGCTTTTTTATTTGATTGTTTTTTTTTTCGTACTTTGTCCAGTTACTTTGATACTCTGCTTATTTTGTAAGCTATAGTGTTAGTAACTGAGTTAAATCTGTATATGCGGATTTGGGGGAATTCGTCTTCAAAGGTTGAATAACAGTTAGAATAACAGTGGAATAATTATTTTTTATTTTATTAACTGCATTCAAAGTTAGAAATCCAACTAAAATCCTGATTAAACTAAAACTGATCAGGCTTGTGCTTCTCACACTTTTATTTATTATTTATTATTATTACTACCTTTATTTATTTACTAAACATTTTTTTCAGACCATTATATTTTCTAATTTCATTTTCGCAATTTTTGATGGATACCTTAACGTGGCTAATGTTTTTTATTTTATATTGTTACGGATTTTGTAAGAATTTTGTTTTCGTAGTAATATTTTTGTACTATAGTAAATTATATTGGTTTGTGTATAATTCTAATAGAGAAAATTATTTCCGTTTGAGTAAGAATTTTGAATATACCGTTAAAATATTATTAAGCTTAGTCGGCTACTAACACTAATCGACAATAATCAAAGTACGAGAAATATAAATATATACAGGGTAAAGCCTAAGGTCATTTAAACTTAACCCTCGTAAAACCAGACTAAGACCTAGTTTATGTAGATAACACGTAAACTTATAATTGAAGTATTCGTTTGAAATAAATTCTGTGGCAAAAAAAATTAAACACATCATTATCAATACAATAACTATAATAACAAATTTATGCCTAGTAACAGAAACCAATAAATAAGTAAATTAACAAGAAGAAAGAAAAAAGAAAATAATACTACCCGTGCAATAAGCTATAGGTTTCTACCTGCTTGTTAAATAAATAAATTTGGAAAATGGCTTTCAATTTTTCAACATTGTGGGTTATTAAATCAAAAAACCAGGGTAACGAAAGTGATAATAAAGCCATGTCTTCAGCAATCACCTTGCCAGAGATAGCACATTTAAGAAGTTCTGAAGTGTAGATTATAAAAAAAATAGCATCCATCAGAACTTGTTGAGACCTTTCACAAAAATAAGATCTGGCAAGATTTAATGATTCTCAAACCCATAATAGCTAAGTTGGAATATGATTGCCAAGTTCCTTATTTCAACTCCAGTCATTAATGGATTTAATAAGCTTAAAATTTTTGAGGGCATTGTCGCGGGACAAAATCTTTAAAAATTAAGTATTTAAAAAAGCGATAGGTAACTATTCCAGATTTCATTTTGTTGCCATTTAGGTCCGAAAAGGTATCAGTTGGCAGTAACCAAAGAAACGTCGCTCACAAAAATTAGATGAATAAGCTTAATTGAGATTTGAGTAATTCGAGTAGGTCCAGTAGGTATTTGATTCAAATTAAAAGGTACAAAACAGTTTAACACGATGTTATTCGGTTGGAAGAAATCTATGTTAAAATTTCCGAGGCACAGAATTTATAGATCAAATTTCGATGCAACCTCACAAAGAATATTATCCAAATCTTTAATTAAAGAGCTAATACGATATTATTTTTAATTGCACTTTATGTATAAATAAAGATGGTATCAAATGAATAAAGAATTTATGTTCCAAAATATATACAAAAAAGAATTCCGATTTAACGAAGAATTTCGTTGCAAAACTTAACAGGCTGCTTTAGGACAACAGCAAGCCATACAACACTGCATCGGACCTGTACATTGAATTTCTTTATAATCATTAGGATCACACGGAGACTCGGGACAGTCGATGCAGTTAGGATCATCATCCGCACATTCGACGTACTGACCAGGAGGTTGGTAACTCATTTTGTTAACAGTATTGTCATCCATCCTCAATTGAGGCGGTCGATACTTGGGTCTCTCCGCCCACGGTTTCTCCACTGGCGGCGATGGTTCCCATGGTAGATATGACATTTTGTTGATGGTTTGGTCGCTAATTTTCCCCGTCGGTTTTTCTATGGCGTTGCTGGGATGAAATGGTGTCACCTTTGCCTTACTGAGATCAATGGGCATATAAGACATCCTATTGATCGTTTTGTCACTCAAAGGACAATCGGATGTGTAAAGATTAGTAAACGGTTTAATGACATCTACTTTGGTCAAAGGTTTAGGGACGTAGTCGTGTTTATTGGTGGTTATATCTTGCATAGGTCCATCGCCGAGAAGTTTGTGTTCACACGGATAAATCGGACACGTAGGTTTGACTTTTAGGGGCTTAAAAGACATCCTATTTACCGTATCGTCCGATATTTTGCCCTCACCCACACACAAATTATTCTCTGGTATAACTACCTTGGCTTTCTCGATTTCAACGGGGATGTAGGATTTCTTGTAAATGGTATCATCCGCCATTTTCATCTCGGGCGGGATGTATTTTTTTTCCGGTGCGAATGATTTTGGTCGCGCTGGTTGTATATATTTACACTTCTTTTTGGGTTTAGGTGGTCGTTCGACCTTAAATGGCACCGCAACGTTACAGCAGATCTGATTTCCTTTGTCGCATGGCTTGACTTGGCATTCTTGTGATATCGGCATCACTGGGACGCCGCACGGTGGACAAGGACACGGTGGACATGGACAAGGTGGGCATGGACACGGTGGACAACTTATCTTGGACCTCGAGTGCCGCGAGGTCAATAAATCGCCGCAGGGCACACAGGACGCCATGATGGAGGTGAAGACAACAGAAAGGAACAAAAACAAATATCAAACTAATTTTGCAGGTTGACGTTCAAAATGACACAGAATTGTTTGGCAACTGCCAGGTTGATTTCCGACGCGACAATTAAAATTGTGAGTGCTTGCAAACCGGCCACACAATTCTTTTAACACCTCAATTTTAAATGATAAGGGATAAATAAGAGGTGCTGTAATATCAATAATCACTACATAAAATAAGCAGACCTCTACTTAAACATGCTCTTGTTTATCTTTTTGGACTCATAGATATGATTTTTTTCTAATTTTTTATTTCCTTCCTCCATGTTTACTCATTGTTTTGTTGTTAATATATTTAACCTAACGATAAGTATTTGAATATATACTTAGCCAAAGATTTAAAACCAACTTTTACAGGGAGTTATAAAAACAAAAAATTAAGATGATAAGGAATAGTACAATGTCGATTCTATTATAAAATATTAAATTTAATCAAGCATCGAAATGTTTATCGCTAAGGCATAATCAGACGATACTAAACCAACTTTAATTGTGTGAATGTTTATAAAACTTATGACAAATGCGTTATTCTTTTGTAAGAAATAAAAACCTACAATGAACTCCATACCAGAGTCTGATAATCTTTTTCCGAGTTTCATCATTTTGAGAGGTTTTGGGCTCTAGTCCAAAGATATATTGGGTAGTTTGTTTAGGAAGTCAGGAAAAATTAAATCAAAATAAATCACGTTTAAATTATCTTAGTCTTAAAAATTGCTGTATATAAACTGCCTTGAAAGCATTCCAGCCCATCTTCTTCTTTTGTTATATCCTTTTGTTGCAATGTGCAATGTGGTTCATTTAAGATGCTCCTATACTCAATAAGTATATGTTATATATATATAGTATTTGTAGTATATAGTGGTATACAGTATTTATGGGTGTTCCGTTGTACCAGGACAGTAAACAACTTTATTTTACATTACATACCATAAGTTTTTAGTAGTTTTTGAGAAAAATGAACTTTTAATTTTTTTTCGGGAAAATGCGTTTTTTCATACTCGAAAACTTAAATTGCGAATTTTTATCATGGATCCATGGAAGTGGTTAATATTTAATGTTTTGACCTATCTATGGCGCTCACAAATGACCATAAAATAATATTTTTTCTAATTAAGAAAAAAATTTTTGTAACTTTTATTGGGTTTGAAATTTAATTCTGTATCATTTCATATATATAGTTTTTATCACAAAAATTAGTAGTTTAGGACTTATTGTCTGCAACTCGTGTATCTTAAATATAACTAACCCTATTTAATTCATAATTCTAAGTTTTTTTTAAACATCAATTACTGAAATTCAATATAAAATGATTAGAAGTTTTTACTAATTACAAAAAATTTTCTACATAACTTCGATCTTTGGCAATACAAGCTGTAAATATGGTTTAATTTCTAGGTGCGTCAGTTGCATTAAGTCTTTCTACCTCTTTCCGAATTTTCATTTTTAAGTGTTTTATGCTGGCCCTATTATTGGATCACATATGGTGCCACCCCACACATAAACATTTCTTCGACCTCATCGGTGAATAGAATTTTTTTAACAAAAAATCTTATTTGCAAGTCCTGTTGAAAAAAATTCTGAATTGATAAAATTTTTAATGGATTGTAGTTATTAAATTTTAAAGTCCTTTGAACACTAATCTTACTAATATCCTGTAGATCTCGGGATGCATCTCTTTGAGAAATTTCTCCTCTTCTGTTAGGATCTTTCTGAGACCGCGTTCTCGATTACTGGCTATCACTCCACGTTCAAGATCAAGAACAATTCATAAAAAATTATGATTCGTGGGTACCCGTCTGGCAGGATACAAGATCCTACATTCTCTTAGGGCTAATGCTGGACTCTTATGTAACATTCAAGAAGATCAAAAGGCTCTCGGACACAAAGCCCTTTTCTCTTTAAAAAAATTGGTGACAACTAAATGTCAAATAAAACCTGGAATTCTGTCCAGACAACAGTTTTATTAATTCTTTTTTCTACTCCCGTTTGTAAAATACCTAATTACCCACCGATCTAGCGTGCGGGAAGCGTCACTTTACCACGTCACTTCGGAAATTTTCGGGATTTTACCGCACGGATTTGGGAGCAATCGGATATTTTCGGAGATATCTCCCACCCTTTGAATTTTGACGTTTGTCAATTCTGACGGTCATGTCAGTGAATGTATTCGTGTTGTTTTGCGAAAATGTACCCAAAAACTAACTGTCGTAGAAAAAGTATAGTATGCAACACGTTCGGTAAACTTTTTAACTCACTCATTTATTAAAAACTCGCTCCGCTCGTGTCAAATAAACTCGTGAGTCAAATTTTCGTTTACCGCACTTGTTGCATATTATACTATTTTCTACTCCCGTCTGCAAAATATCTAATTACACACCGATATACCGTGCGGGAAGCGTCACTTTACCACGTCAGTTTCGTTTCCCGCGGATCCGAGCCACTTCGGACATTTCCGGGATTTTACCGCGCGGGTTTGGGAGAAATCGGATGTTTTCGGAGATATTTCCCACGCTTTGAATTTTGACGTTTGTCAATTCTGACGGTCATGTCAATGAATATATTCGTGTTGTTTTGCGAAAATGTACCCAAAAACTAACAGTCGTAGAATAAGTATAGTATGCAACGCTCGTTTATAACACTCGCTCCGCTCGTGTTAAATAAACTCGTGAGTCAAATTCCGTTTACCGCACTTTTTGCATAATATACTATTTTCTATGTAATCATAAAAAATACTCAAAATCTAGCGAATAACTTTAATTTTGGCAATTGTAGGTTATGTGAGGACGCATAACTTCAATTTCGCCTATGATATATGTAAAATAAAGTTGTATTGTCATTAATGTTATTATTATTATTATTACGATTTGAAAAAAAAAAAAGAATTCGATTTGACTACGCCTCACAGTGCGCCATACAAAATGCTGATCAACTACTCCTCGCGTCGTAATCATCGGCCTCATTAGCCTTAATCATATAACTATTAGATAATATAGTGGCCCTACTGCAATAAAAATTAATGCGGCGCAAGCAGCATTGATATTTTCATAGAAAAGAATGATTTTCCGAGCATGCCTCTGCTCACTAACCGGCACTTTGCGCCATTTTATTTCTAAACAGCGTTTTCCGCACCCTTAACTCCTTTTCCCAGAACGTTTAACGAGATCTGAGTACATTTTGACAAAATACTGCCCCAGATATACTACGTTCAAACTCTGTCAGGTGCCATATTAGTTGTTGAATGCCATTGGTTAATTTTTTCATGGTTGCTTCAGAACTTCCTGTATTATCGACTTAGGCAGGGCCCTATATCTCTAGTAACAATATGGCCTCAACAGACGTAAGAACCCAAGGACAACAGCTTTTTGCATCTTCATCACCAGCTGTATCAGCCTATTATATTATGCCAGCTTTAAATCGCTTGATTTCAAGAACATGGAGCAACCCAAAAAAAGATAATTGCTTGTAATTACACTCCATACGTACAAAAAATAGTTTTTTAAATCAAAAGCAATATTTTACCTCGGGAATGCTAATCTCAAATCAGACTTCAGTTTTGTCAGTAACTCAGACACGGTTCCAAACTGCCTCAGAGTCATCTCAGATCCGGATGACGTGAGCATCGGGTTCCTGTAATCCCGGAAGGAATTGCTCTGGGAACGGGTATTTTCTATATCCGAAGTGCTAGAATTCGCGTACAAAGAGATTAGACCGCCGTTTGCCGATTTCTTCCCCCACTTTTTCAGCATGATCCCGTAATCTTCTGGATTGTATATGGGAGGTCTTTGTTTCTCCTAAACGAGAAACAGATACATTAATTTTCCGTAGACAAATTATAGGTAAGTAATAAATTAACTAAATCTGTACGTGGATTTAATAGACGCGCTAATTACTGTTTGGAGTTTTCAAATGGATGGGAGCGTTAGCATTTAAATGCTCGATTAAAGACACACATCCGCAACGTGCCTGAATTCGATCGCTGGCTAGTAGGTCAGTTATTATTATCTTCGAGATTTATTGTAATTTCTTAACTATTAAGTTCTAAAGATTCAGCGCAACGAGCGATATTTATAACGCCATGTGTTTGAAATAGCCGACGTAGTAATTCAATTTAATCCGTAATTTTTTTACAGGACGTCAATTTACCATTAAGAAAGTTGTTCGATTGGTAAAAATTCATCAAAAATAAAATAAATAACGAAAAGTGAAACTTGCGAGAAGTCAATATAACTAGCCCGAAAGAATTTAGACAATCCTCATATGCGCGATTTGCTTCGAGTTGTTGATAATTTGTAAAAAAAGGAAAGTGATTAAAATCCAATTTAACAAGATAGTAGGCTACTAAAAAACCATAAAATATTTCTTGTACTGGAAAAGTTGGTGAAATTTCACTTTTACGTAAATAAAAAGCAGTCTCTGGGTTGGGTAGGTTAGTTTGAATCTCTTAATTAAAGTTTGAACTCATACGCTAATTGTACAGGGTGTGTCAATGTAATGTCCCAAGACTTTAAAGAGCGATATTGCTTTAAAAATAAAAGAAATGTATATATAAGCCGGCCAACAGCGGTGTGGTTTATTTTTGCAGTATTCAATATTCAACAATTTCTTTTACATTTACATTTGGCATTTTCCAAATTAAACTTGTCATACATGTCTGAAGAAACTGGGAATTTAAGTATTAATAAAATTTTACAAATTTGGGGTGTAAGTTCTACAATAATTTTAAAATATATAGCTCATAAATGTCATAAACTATAGTAGAAAGTTGCGTGTTTCTTAGTCTCAAGGAGTTACGGAACAACGTGTATAAATAACTAGTATGTTTATGATGTTAGTGTATGTTTCTGTTTTGTTTTTTCTGCGGGATTTTTTAATATGCAATTTCTCGACAACTGAATTATGTATTAGGAGTATTTGAAATGAAAAGTTGTTTATTGCTTGTGATATCTAATCTATATCTATATGTATATTAAATATCTTTAATCAAATTAAAAAATTTATAAGTCTCCAACTTATAAGATTAAATATTGTCATTACTGTTGCTTAGTTATTAAAAAAAATATTACTCGGTATCTTAAAAACCAAGTATTTGATGACATATGTCTACAGTGTGATCACTTATAGCAGCACCATGCCGGTTTTTTTTTATTTGTGCAGTTTTTTAAAAAATATTTAAAATTACGATCTACTGCCTTGCCTGTACATTAAATTAGATATATATTTTGCTTCGTTACTATAAAATTTAAAACCCAGTATCTTTAAAATGAAATAAATATACTTGAATATTTATAAAAATTATGCCAGAATGAATTTGTCTTTGACATAACCTATAAACACGTTTAGGTTAAATACAAAAAATTCGAAAGTACTAAATAATCCCTTAGAAGGCATACTTTGATACTAACCAAAACTACTTTAAGGATAGATATTTTACTCTTGTGCAATTTTCATGTTTTATGATCTACAATACATCTACCTCCTTACCATACATGTATACGTGCAGCAACTTTTAACAATAATTGTATTTTGGTGGAGCAATTTACAAAAATTCGAAATATTGTACACTTAAGTAACATACTTAATGCAATGGACTGAGGCGTCTTGTTGAGATGTTGCCGATACTCACTTTATTTGCAATTTCCTCCACGGGTTGAACATGACAGTCCACCCTCGGAACCTCGGTGTTGGGCGCCATATTGCTAGCGGATTCGAATAAGTCGCTGCAAATGAGGAAACAACATTCAATCAACAATCTACATGCTACAGATGTCTTCTTAATTTATCTAAAATAATATTTTCTATATTTACGGTGAAGTTCCAAATTTCCAAATAATATTTAGAAGAGCTAGATATAAATATGTCTTAAGATTTCAATTTTCACTTTATCCGAAAGGAAAAATAATCGAAAATTATGCGTGTTACCATGGCAACGTTGTTTGATAGCTTGAGAGAAAAAATTTTGACGAATTCTCAGTTCGCAGTTCAAATTCTTGCAAAAGGCACATAACGCAGTTGTGAATTTCAAATTTTCGAAAAAAATATGACAAGTATGCAGATTGACATGGCATTGCCATCACTCTGCTATTACTCCTGTTAGTTTTTTTGGTTTTTAGTTTTGTGATAAAAAAAAAATATTTATATGCACATTTCAGATCTATTTGATATAATCATTCGAGGCAGTGATTAAGCTAAGCAGGAGCCATTCATATTAATAAGCAATTAACTGAATTGCTTAGGCTAAACGGAATAATCAATATGGAATTTAACCGTCAATACCGGCAGCAAAACATGTCACAGCACAAATACCGTTCGCGCCAGTTTTAACGCTCAATTAACTGGCTGGTTAAACCCGACCAGTAGTGAAATGAATATCATTAGAACCGTCATCGAAAGGAAGATCAAACTTTGCATTTGAAGAGACCGTCCCGAGCATATAATTCTCGCAATTAATTTTAATCAGCACATTCGTTATATTAAACTTCCTGTATTAACTCAATCCATTAAAGATCAGTAGTAGAAACAGGCACGCATATTAAATACTGTCCACTTTAGCAAAATCCAGATTTAGGTAAAAACATTGATTGTCAGTTAAAAATTCACATATGGAAATGTTGTAATTACACCTAAAAATTCAACAGCACCTTTAGCAAATCGTAGAAGACAAACCCAACCCAAAACAGTAAAATTCCGGAAGAAAGAAAGAACATTCCAAAAGACGTTTCACGAAAAACTAGGAGCATATATTGTTCTTCAGTATATTAAAAGTTGTCACAATTGAAAAAGAAGTTTCTTTTTTCTTTTAATTTAGTGTGCAATATTAAATTCTCTATTTTTCCTTGTAGATAACTTCTTAATATAAATTTTGAAACATTCATGAATTTTTAAAATTTCATGGTATCTTGTTTTTATTTATTTTCGTATATTGTCGTTTGGTGAACTGGGAGTTGGGATTTAACGTGGAAATGAAATATCATTTCAAGTGGAAATTGTGAATGTTTTACACTTCAGACAATGGCGCCCTAACATGATATTAAGTTTTAAATATTTAGCCCTGCTAATTTTTAAGTTAAACTTTTATTGTCAGTCAAATGGGCATGGTCCTCAGCTCTATCCATTGCTTTGTTAGAGGCTGGCATCAAGTTGGATGTAAAAAACATTAAAAAATATGATTTACGTTTAAATGCTTACGTAAAATTTTGCACTGATTTTCTTAAGGAACACAAGTTAGATATGGATTGGACTTTTCGGGTAAAATTTCATACTTCACTCAACACGAAAAACATGAATTTCAAGAGATACAAAATAATTTATAAGATATGACCTAAGAAAGGATGTTTCGAAAAAAATTCCTAAGTCAAAATAGAATAAACATTCAATTTTTTGTATTGTTATTTACACCTTGATATTTATGAAATAAGTTAAGTTAAAGGCAATGTAGTTATATGTAATAGATTTAAATTTTGAATTATTTTTTACTTTTGCAATGTATTGTTGGTTGTTGGTTATTATTGTTTTTTAAGTTTTAACATTCTGGGTAGTGAATAGTAAATTCCGTCGAGATAACCACATTTTTAAACCGCATTGTGTGTATGGATTGACTTGATCCGTTTTAATAATAACTGAGAATGGATCGGAACTTTCCCATCAAATCCAGTATACACACACACTGTCGCTATCGGCATTTTTAATGAGAAGAAGATTTTCGAATCGTTATCGCTCCAATTATCGGCATAGGAAGTAGGAGGAATTAAATGAAGAAATTAACAAGTCACATTCTAGATTAATAACTTGTTCTTCTCGTCTGGTGCTTTTAACGATTTTTTTTTAGCGGCGCCATTATGTTCGATTTCGTTAATCCACACGAACCTTAACGTTAATTGCGGCTATAATCGGAATGTAAATGTTGATGGCGGATACGTATGATTTCCCTTCATATATTTCGCGTATCGAGTGTATTAACACCAACCACCGTCTTAAGAACTTCTTTCCCACGTTCATCTGCAGATTAGCAAATAGCCCGAGCCATATCAATTTTTCAAAGCTTTTGGATTTACTGTGTCAGTGTGAATAACCATTTATACCGGGCGTTACGTGTATGAATAATATTAAGGATCTTAGAATCTTAGAAAACCAGGAGTGTTCAAAAAGTAAGGTGACTTTTATGTTTTAACAAAAAGTATTTAAATATTCATCAGAATTAATGTTGTCCCTTTCAAAGTACATAATCCACCCCCAGATATAATACACTTGTGCCAAAGTTTTTTCCAATCCTCGGAGCACTTCTGGTAAGCACTTTCTGGTGTAGCCTTGAGTTCTTCCAGCGATTTTTTGTTTTCCTCCTCAATCATTCATGTGAATCTGGTGGCTGAGGTATAATTCTGGTTTTGTTTTTGGCTAAAAATTAGACACAAGCAACGATGAGTGAGCAGGTGCAAAATCCATGAATTTTCCCAAAATTCGGGACGTTTTCTTCGAATTGCTTCTCGCAAACAGCGCATCACTTCAAATTATTGACAGTACGACTTTTGACTTATTACGCCACGATACTCAAAGAAAACAGTAAGCAAAATCTTGATATTTGATCGAACTTGACGTGCTTTTTTCGGTCTTGGCGATTCTGGGTTCTTCTGGGAAGACTGGGCTTTGCTTGGTTAATTCAAAATTAACCATTTTCGAAACAAATTTTGCTGCTACAGGTTTTATACACAAAACTTCTGAAAAAATTGTAAGGAACGAGCCAATAGAGATGCCGACGTCTTCAGTCACCTCTCTAATAGCGATTCGAGGATTTTTCAACACCATTTGTTTCACTTCTTCAACAGTTTCATCAGTTATCGACGTGCTGGGGCGTCCAGATCTAGATTCGTCATCGGCGTTTTCTCGCCCATTTTGAAACAGCTTGTACCATTTTTTTGCTTAAAGTACAGTACAGTATTTCTTCTTATATACAAAATTTTATGTAAATTATTTGTTCTTTTTTTTATTGTAGAAAATCGCCGAGCACACAAAACTATTCGATCTCACAAAAAAAGTAACTAGATGAGACTGTGTACCAACATAATAAAAAAATATATCGAAGATCGAATGTATGTAGCCCGTCCGAGTACAAAAGTTGCTTTACTTTTTGAATACACCTTATTATTTATAATTACTTGCGAAACAGGTTGTAAAAAAGGAATATTAGTTACAAAATAGCCCAACGTTTGGAAGTCCTAAATTCATATGCTATTAAGAAACAATATATCTATGTTGTCATAGAGCTTTTGTCGAAGTGAAATCAAACGTTAGTTCTGTTAGTTGTGGTGAGTTGTTTAGTTAGTGTGGCATGTGTTACTGCTACTTTACGTCCCAGTGTTGTAATTTTGCAAATGATAACATACCAAATAACATAACAAATTCAGTACAGCACATTATATTAATTGAGGATTCTTACATTTGTCTACAAAACAATATGAGTTGTATTGTAATTAATCTTGGCTGCTCTGATATCAGATGTAGATATCTAGAATAGAATGTAAATATGTATATACTTATTAATTAAAACTGTATGCACATATAATGCTGTTGTTTCTTGTTAATGTAATTTTGCCATTATAATTACCTAAACAAATAAAAAATTAGCTAATCCTTATATTATTAAAAAACCTTTAAGACCGTGCCGCAGTACCTAACATTTATTCACGTGGGCTTCGATAAATACCGGTAAAAGCTAATACGAAATATTTTGAGACAAACTACAACTTTTTTTAAAGACACACTGAAACGTGTTCCTTTCTACGATAAGCTTTCTTTTTCATAACATGAAATGATCTTTTTACATAATAAAAAATGGAAAACCAATTTCTTCTATTTCAAGGTAATCATGAAAAATATTTGTAGCTGCTACGTAGATGTCAATATCAATTATTTTTGTCAATTTTATTATTTTTTAAAAAGGCACAATAACAAGAACATTTGAAAACCGTGGCAGTGGTGGTAATAATTTTAAAATTTCAAACTTTAAAAGTTACTTAATTGAGCAATCCTATTTACCGCTGATTTCCTCAAATGACGTTGTATATATTCATACAATCAACATCAATAGAAAATAAAAAGAAAAACACTTAAGACGTATGCTGGATTCTATTTTGTTTTAATACAATTTCTCTTTATAAAAATATTTCATCACTGTTTGAGTGTAATAAACTGGACAATTGCAATGTGCAATATATGCTTCGTGTCTCTATGTTTAGAAAAAATCTACATTCTAATTAACAACACGTATGGCATCATTGGCGAAGAACAACGCTATGATTTTATGAATATTGCACCTGTAATTAGCGGAAATACAATCCGCAGCATTGTTGGTTTACACAACTACATTTGAAATGGAATAATTATTTAATCATACTAAAAACAAAGGAAAAAATAATGAAACTATAACATTTCAGAGATATTAAAACGCAGTACCAGTTTAATTGCAATTTATTTATTTAATGAGATTCAAGACATGAAATGCGTGATTTTTATTCTATTCCATATAAAATAAATCGTATTATTGACAAGAAGTATGTAGCAAACAAAATCTAAACAAATAATAAAGCCTATCAAATCTTACTTATAATAGGCTGATCTTCCCAGATTTTAAATCTCTTCGCTATTTTATTATAAAAATATAATATTAAATTGTATATATAAAAATAGCAATAGTGACATTAATAAATAATTGGCGGAAGGAACT